TATTCACTGTGGGTGGGAGTGTAAAATGGTGCAACCACTGTGGAAGGCTACATGGCGCTTTCTCAAAAAGTTGTACATAGAAATACCATTTGACCCAATAAGACAGAACAGAACTGCCTCCTAAGATTTCCAAGACCGTAATCTTTATGGATGCAGAGTGCCACATCTTCCTCCACAAAGCCACTAGCAGGGGTCACAACTGTCAATGCTTCATATTTAACCACAATCACACCAAAACTCCTTCTATTTTATCAGTCACTACAAAATAACCCTTGACTCTTGTGTCCCTATGGCTACTGCCCTAGTTCAAGTCTAATGTTCAAAACATAGCCTGTAAAAGAAGCCTTCTACAGCTGCTACATGAATAGATGTATGCACACTTATGTTGACTGTAGTATTTTTACAATAGCAAAGGGATGGAAGCAGCCCAAGGGCCTATCAACAATAAACGGATAGAGAAATTGGAGTACATTCAAACAACACTGCACTGAAAAACAATGAACTAATAAAACACTACATAACATGGATGAGTCTAAAGGAAATTATGCTGAATGAAATAACACAAAAGGACAAATACTGTATAAGACCACTATGAAAACTAGGAGGGTCAAAAGCAGAAGAGCAGGAAATAAGTAGATAATGAACCGTAAATTGGAATGGGAGTGGAAACTTATTAGAGATTATTAGATAATTAGAAATTAGAAAAAAATTCTAATCATCAGTAATCCCTTGAAGATCCTTCCTATCTAGAGGAAAATCAAGACTCTACTTTCAAACTTGGAAGGATATTAAAACTCTAATCACTATAAACCTTCCCTAAAATGATGATATTCCATGGATGGATCCTAAACTCTTCATCTATAGACCTAAACATCCTTGTCTTTGTTTTGACTGTTCCTCTTGCCTGGACTGCACTTTCCTTCCTCCTGGAGGCCCCATTTATGCCTTAACAAACATGCCTCCTCCTCTATACTTTTCCCATCTTGTTGACACCTCTATAGCGGCCCAAATCACAGTCCCTCTTCCACTGGGGTTAAGGACTGTTATAGTACAGGATCTAGCACTCAGGATACTTATTTACAAATTCTTACTTGTGATCATTAGCAATGTGTCTTGGAGTATTTTATTAGTAGTTATTCAAATACCCAATGTGATCTGATCTTAAAACATTTTACACACAGACTCAGGGAAGTTACATACGCAACCAGTATTTGAACCCAGCCCTTGTTCTTTACTGGTGCCATCTTCCCTTACCTTGGCACTGAACTGGTTGAGCTCTCCATTCTCGTGGCCTGCGATGATGCACTCTCCCAGGGGCCCCCAAACAGCACTGGTGATCTTAGAGTCATTGCAAGGGATCTTCATGTAGGGCTCATTGCTGTCTGGGAAGGGCAGCAGACATTAGGGCCTGGGTTCTGAGGATTCACCTTTCACCTCAACCCCAGGCCCAGCCCTTACCAATTTGGCTCGGGTCCCGCAGGTCGAAGAAGCTTACAAAGCACTGGTAGCCCATCTGCTTGTCCGTGGAGAACATGATGATGTTGCCCCCAAAGTCAAAGCCACAAGTCCGGACAGCCGAGTTGGTTTTGAGTAGGGCCAGCTGCTTCCCTGGAAACAAGCAGAGTCTATGCTACCCCTTGCCCACTGCCATCCGGAGAAGACACTCCCTACACCATTGTTTCTCTTGTTCTAGTGACACCAATCCATCCTTCACTTCCTCATTGCTCTGCATTAGCTCCAGCCTTTTTACTTCTTTTCCTTCATCTAGTTTATTTAGTATTGGTCATAATGGATTGTAATATACCTATCTCCTCCTAGGATCGCACTCCTAGGATCCACATACAAAAACAATAAACCTCAAACTCACTGCCACTGAACTGATTCTGACTCAGTGTGACCCTCTATAAGACTGTACATTGCAATGGGAACAGACAGCTCATCTTTCTACCAAGGAGCAGCTGGTGGATCTGAACCGTCTGGAGACACAGGCAGCCTTTGGGTGAGTGATATAACTAAGACTACGTCACCAGAGCTGGCCCCCCTAAGCAAAGAGCAGGCCTAATTTCTGTGTGTCCCCAGTGCTCAACACAGAGCTGACCAAGAGCTGAGTGCCAGTAAATATTTACCAAGTAAAGCAGCTTAACAAGCTTCCCTGTCTGTAGTCTCAGCTCTCCCAATGCATCTGCCCACTGTTAGCGCAATTTGTAAAAAGTGAACAGACTTTTTTGCCTTGGTGCTTCCCTCCAAGCAACATGGTCACCAGCAGCTCTACTGGAGTCACCTGTGACAATTCGGCCAGGGTTTCTGCTCTTGCCACATGTGCTCAAACCAACACGGACTGATTGGGAAATATGGACTCAGTATATGCCACTAGTGTTTCCGTCAGTACGCCAAGGATATCGGCTTTATCAAGTTAGACTAAGTGATCTTCCTTGAATGGTCTAGCCAAGACCTCTACATGGCAAGAAACAAGGTCAATACTTTGTACATAAATTAAATTTCAGTTATGATGATGTGGGGGGGAAAAGTGAACAGAACAAAGTCATGCTCCTGAGTTGGCATTCAAGGCCTGTTCTGTTTTTATCGGGCATCATGCATTCTATCCATCTATTTCACCACTCGAGGGAAGAATCCAGTGAAAGCAGATGACTCGGACCTAACACTTGTGATGCTTTCATTCCTGCAGTGCTAAACTGATGCCATTTTTATATCATTCAAGGCCCAGCTCTTATGACATGTACTTTCAGAAACCTTCCTTGGCTGCTCTCAGCCCCACGTCAGGCAGTTAGCCCTGATCCTCCCACAGTACTTTCTGCTTCATCTACTTTCTACTTTTATCCTATAATGGTGCCCATTTTCAATCTTTTTTCATTTTCTTGTTTGGCTTTGGATTAATTTGTTTTTCCAGAATCTGCTCACTTAAAAAGGAAGACTGTCAGGTCCTCAGTGTTTGCTGAAAAAGGGAATTACTCAGACTTACCTGTTTCACAGTCCCATAGACGACAGCTATTGTCAGCTGAGCCAGTGAGGACATGCTTCGTGTCCCCTGAAGTGATCATTAAGGAATAAGACTAAGTTCACTTGAGTCTTTCATCCTCTTGGGAGGCCAACTGAATTACTTTCATGTTCATCCACCTTTCTATCTCAGAGCATTTTCACCTCCTCATCCACAACTGGAAAATTTCTCAAATGTTCTCCCAACTGGGGAAGAGAATAGACCCTCAATAGCTTTCCCAAGCAGCCCCAAGCTTAGCATCCCTTCCATTGCTGGCAGCCCCTGGAGGCACAAACAAGGATACAGTCGGCATCAACACACCACACAGCTCCAGTGTGACCCATGTAGGTGCCCAACCTCTCTCCATTCACAGAGTACCATACATTGACGATCTGGCAAAATCAAATGACAGGATGCTAATATTCCAGACAAATAGTGGCCTATTTCACCAAAGGAACTCTCAGCAGCTTCTATGGCCTACACACAACAAAGTGAGTCAGGACACTTACAAAAGTGCCTTACTGTCAATACCCCAATCTCCAAATCCCCAGGCTTTCAGAAGAACAAAAGGTCAAGCTGAGCTCTACTCCTCTGATGTTTTGTTCAAGCAGGAGCAATCAGCTGCAGGGAAGCCTATGTTTCAACTGCTGGTGCCACAATGTCACTGTATTATCTCAAGTAGAGCCCTTCCCTCCTCTGACCTTTGCTTTTCCCATCTGGTAATGGCCATAATGATAATGATTCCTTCAAAGTGTAACTGGAGTAAAAGAGTGTCTAAGGAGTTTAAAAACAAAAATTACCAAACCAATAAGGCACTCACAATGCACCAAATAGTATGCTAAGCTCCATACATCAATGACCCCATGTAATCCTACAATGTACTGTATGAGGGAGGTTAGGGTTACATACAGTACTCACATTTTACAGAAAGGGATACTTAAAGTTTAGAAAGGTGAAAAGCTCATTGCCACTGTTGTCAGAAGAGAATCATTGCTGACCCTCCAGCGGGTTTTCGGAGGCTGTAAATTACACGGGAGATTGCCTTTCTCCAGCAGGAGCGGCTGACGGATTATAACCACCGTTTTTGGATTGGCAGCAAAACTCCTTACACCCTAGGGCACCAGAACGATCAGAGAGGTTAAGTGACATGATAAAAAGTCACAATGCCAACAGATGCAAGAATCGGGATTTAAATCCAGATCTGTGTGGCTTGAGAGCCCTTCTTTTAATAACAAATGTTAACTTTCTCCATGTGAAGGTGCTCCAAAAGGCAGTACGCTGAGAGGCTGTTGGCACTGAGTCCTGAATTAAACAAAACTATTGTCAAGTGCTGATTTTGACTCAACGCCTCCTTGTGCCGGAGCAGAAATGCCTCATGGAGTTTATTAAAACCATCAAGTTTTCAGGCAGCAGCCTAGTGCGTCGTCATCTTGCCACTGTTCCCAATAAATCCCTTGTCCCTTGCAACTTTCCTCTAGAAGAGATAGTCTGTACCCCTACCCTGGTAAAATGATTTTGTTCTTTCCCAGAATGGTCTCATTTTGGTTCGCAACTTCCCAGAACCGTGCATTCTTTGGGTCTCCTCTGGCAGTAAAATTATACCATCATCACCCTTGCAGGATGGAGTCGCCTCCTATCCAGACCCCTCTCCATACAGTCACCCCCCCCCCCCCCCCAGGAGCCCTCAGGCCGCTGCTCACAGGGTCTTTGGCCACAGTGAAGAGGAGGTCTCCCTCGCGGTTGTACTTGATCTGCGTAATGGACCGCTCATGGCCCTGCAGCAGGATCGGCTTCTGTGGAGACAGGGTGGGAGTGTCAACAGCCAGAATCAGGTCCCTACCCTAGTCCAGGACCCGAAATCCAACATCCAACAAAGTGGAACTCACCATGCCGGCGGTGAGGCGAGGCGAGCAGAGGCCCCAGGAAGACCGGAAGAGGTTTAACACCACTTCCGGATCGTGAGTCTCCGCCCCCTCCCTTCCGGAAGTAGAAGGGAGCCGTTGCTATGGCGGCATCTCTGGGTGAGTAGCGGGTCCCGCCTCTCCGTAGACTTCCTTACCCTAACTAGGGGTTCATTTCCCACCCTGCCTCCAGCCATCTTACACTCTCAGATCCCAGCTTCCCGGGTGAATAGCCTGAGGGCGTCCAGGGACCTGGTTTACCAGCGAAGAAGGGAGGTGGGAGGCGGCTGGCATAGAACGCCTTGGGGGGATCCTGTCGGGGTAGAGCCCAGGGGAGGGTTGAGCCAAATGGCTAGCCGGTTAGATAGGACAGAGGGACCCAAACCTCCGTCCAGGGCAGGTGCTGGCCCTGGTGCTGGTGGCCGCTCTGTGGGGTGGCACACAGCCGCTGCTGAAGCGGGCCTCCGCCGGCCTGCAGCAAGTTCGTGAGCGTACCTGGGCACAGCAGTTACTGCAGGAGATGAAGACCCTCTTCCTGAATGTTGAGGTGCGTCCCTAAATGGCCCATCTTTCGAGGGTGACCGCTAACTACTTTATCTCTCTTTGAAATTGAAGAGATCTCGGTCAGAATCTTAGTTTTTGGACTAGTAAATTGTCCTCTCTAAGCCTTATTTTCATCGTTTGTGAATTGGGGAATAATAACAGGAATACTGATGCATTTGTGAGGGTTAAGTGAAAGGAGACGCAAATACCATAACATTGAACCCGGCACATAAATACTCAATTCGAACTCGAAGGTATTCAGTTCAAATCCACCAGATCCTCCGTGGTAGAAAGAGAGATCAGCAGTCAAGTCCCATCCGATTTACAGCCTTTGAAAACCAGCCGGAGGATCAGCTATGGGTCTCTTTGCCACTCATTGGTACCCAGTAACTGTTATATTAAGGAATGACCTCTGATGGCCTAGTAGTAAGGAGTTGTGTTGCCAACCCAAAGGGACAAAGTTTGGATCCACCAGCTGCTTGGCAGAAGAAAGATGGGCAGTTTCCTCCTCTGCAATTTATAGCCTCTGAAAACCCCTGGGAGAGTCAGCTATGAATTATTTCAAACTCAATGGTATATGACAATTGTTATATTATTGTGCTTTCTCTTTACAAAGGAGACTTTGGGGCCCAACTTGGAGAGGGAAGATAAAAGAGATGTGTGCAGAACTGTCTCTGACTCCACGGCTCCCAGGCTCCCAGTCTAAGTTTGTAGTAAGGACAGGACATAGACACACAGTGACCTCTCAGGGCTGAGGGTTATGGAAGGTGCAGAGGAAGGCTGAGTGAGTGTAGAAGAGACTGGAACTCAAGGCTTCCTGGAGACAGTGACATTGGCCTGCACCAGTCAAGGCCTTGCAGGATGGGAAGGATGCAAACTAGCAGAGCTGAGGGAGAGTGCATTCCAGTGCAAAAGCACAGTTCACTTATTAACTGTTTCCTTCTTTGTCCTGAAAAGGCCCTCAGGGCTTACTGTAGCTAGCCGTTCTTCCAAGGAAAGAAGCTCAAAGAAGATAGTGTTTCTCAGTCTTGTAATCATACTTAATGCAACTTTCACTTGATTCCAGTACCTCATGCCCTTTCTCTTCAACCAGTGTGGCTCTCTTCTCTACTACCTCACCTTGGCATCCACAGGTAGGTCTCTGGCTCAGAACTGTTGGGTCCAGTGGTGGAGGCCACTAGGGAGAGTCTTTTTTTGGGAAAGATCTTGAAATATATTGTTCCCATCAGTGAGGAAGTGCTGTCTCTGACTTCCTATTTGCATCTTCTCTGACCAGTAGGAGCACAGTGGGCTGCTTGGTTGATCACTAACCACTAGGGTTGGTGTGAGGCCTGGCAGTCTTGTACAGTGGCAGAGGAAGAAAAAGACTTACATTGCTGTGCAAAGTGCTGGCTTTGACACTCTTGCTTCTACTGTATGTATGCTACCTTTCTTGACCTTCGACAAATTCTTTATTTGAGCCTCAGTTTTTATATAATCTGTGTCATAGTATTGTGAGGGTCAAATGTAATGTGTGAGAAGCATCTAGTAGAGTTTTAGATATACAATAGGAGCTCAATAAATAGAAATTTCTTTTGCTCCAACATTTGTTGTCTGGCTTCTGTTGCATCAAATACTGTGGTAAAATGCATACTTTTAAAAATTTTTTTATTGTGGTAATTTATATGTAAGGGAGCAATCCCAAAGGCACACAGATGAACAGTCTCTTCCAGTACGATTAACTGCCTCTGAAAACCCGCTGGAGGGTTCCAACTGGATGATGGTACACAACAACAATTATAACAAAACATTTGCCATTTCAGAATTTTTTTCATATATGATTTAATGGTATTAATTACATTCATCATGTTTTACAACCATCATCACTAACCATTGCCAGATTTTGCCATTACCTTCAATAGCCCAGTGCCCCCTACAGGGATTTCTCCTGTCTCCCTCCCTTTCACTACGGATAACCGTAATAAACTTTGGTCTTTATACATTTACCTAGTCTAGATATTTCATCCAAGTTGGGTCTTGCATTATTAATCTTTTTGTGGCAGACTTATTTTACTTGGATGGAGCTCTCATGTCATAGTCCGCAGGGAGATGACCTACAACCCCAAAGACAGCACCCCTCCAAACAGTTGGCATCCACCAGTGACTCTGCCGAGGAAAGATGGGCAGTTTCCTCCCATTTACAGCTTTCAAAAACTGCTGGAGGGTTAGCTGAGTCAGTTTCAACTCAATGGCAATGAGTCTGAACTTTGTAGTATTTTACTTAGAATAATGTTTTCAAGGTTTATCCATGTTGTAGTATGTATCAGGATTTATACTGCATTGTATTACACATTTCATTCTCCTGTGAGGAAAACATGGCTGTCTCAGCTTTACATGTCAGGAAATGTATTTCGTCTAATATCACCTGTTGTGTTGTTGTTATGTGCCGTCGAGTCGCTTGTGACTCATAGCGACCCTATGTAAAACAGCCCTAAACTCTGCTCTGTCCTGTGCCACATCACACTGTCTCTGACACTCCCATCCCGATTATCCCAGTCACTGAATCAATCCACCTCATAGAGGGCCTTCCCCTCCTGCACTGTCCTTCCACCCTCCCAAGCATGATGTCCTTCTCCAAGGACCGGTCTCTCCTCACAACATGTCCAAAGTATGTTAGACGGAGCCTCAGAATCCTTGCCTCCAAGGAGCCACCCGGTTTAACCCTTTCCAGGACAAATCTGTATGTTTTCTATTCTCAATACTCTTCTCCAGCACCACAGTTCAAAGGCATCAATTCTCCTTCTATCCTCCTTGGTCATTGTCCAACTCTCTGATGCATAACAAGTGATTGCGAAGACCATGGCCTGTATTAAACGCACTTTAGTCTCCAGGGAGACACCATTGCTCTTCAGTACTCTGGAGGAGTCCCTAACAGCAGACTTTCCCATGGCAATGTGCCTTTTTATTTCCTGGCTACTGGTGCCAAGACTGTTGACTGTGGAGTCAAGCAAACTAAAGCTGTGTACAATATCACCTAATACCACAAAATATCATTGTAGAGGATTTGAAGCCACATAATAAATTTTTATACTCTTGAACTTGGCTCTGAGTTCTCTTGCAGAGGTTTTGCCATCCACAGAGTCTCACCCTGACCCATAGGGGACTTGATGGGAGTCTGGGTCCCAAAGACCCATCAGTGTTCTCCATTCTCTGGAGAACTCTTAAAAGGCTTTGAGAGGAGAGAGCAACAAAATAACCTCCAGATATACCACCCCAGGTTCCACTAGTTACTCCGCTTTCATTTAACATTTTCAGCTTCTCACAAAATTTCATTGAAAGCTTGAAAATCCTTGCCCTGATGTCTTCCCAGATGTTCTTTAGCTCTGAGGAGCTAAATGCAAAGATCTTATCTTCATCAAAATGTTGTGGTTCCAGACTGTGGAGCTGAGGTCTTCATGTTGGAATACTAAGGAAGCACTAAATTTGGTGTCAGGAAACCTGGGTTTGGGGCCTAAGCAGTGCTATCATTTACCTGGAAAGCTGTAGTCAATCCTTTTAAAGGGTTGGTTGGTGATACATCAGAAGCATTTTTTGTCTAGAAAGACATTATTTGCAATGCAGTGATTCATCTTCTCACTTTGACTCTCCAGATCTAACCCTGGCAGTGCCCATCTGTAACTCTCTGGCCATCATCTTCACAATGATTGTTGGAAAGGTACTTGGAGAAGATATTGGTGGAAAACGTAAGTCAGTCAGGCCACTGCACGTGTGGGAAGCAGCGACTTGGATTTTGACACACATTTAGCTCCTTTCCAGAGCCCACATGTTTCAGGAGACTGGACTACTAACTGAAAGGCTGGCAGGGTGGAAAAGGCCCTGGCTGGCTAGCCACCAGCTCTTCTGCTTCCTTGTGGCCACTAGAGTTTGTTTCCCCTGGGAAGTCTGGCTTGGTGATAGAGTTGGGGTAGGAGTTGGAACCAGAGCCCCCTCACACCCTTCCTCTAGCCCTGAACCAGCTCCTTATAGAATAACTTGACTCATCACTCCTTTATTTCTGCTATTACAGAAGCAGTTGCAGGCATGATGCTTACCATGACAGGAATTGCTCTCTGCATCACAAGCTCAGTGAGCAAGACCCAGGGGCAACTGTCTACTCTTTGAATGGCCAGGCCCTGCCTGCAAGCTCTGCTGTCTCCAGGAAGCCCCAGGCCCAAGAGGTGTTGGTGTGAGCAGAGAGACCCAGCACTTGTCTCTGAGCCTCAGCTTCTTCATCTCTTATGGAGATAATCGCTACCTCGTGAAACACAATAAAAGGAGAGGGTGAAAGGATTCTAGACTCGTCAGGTGCTGCTGTTCGGCTTTTAGGATCCAGCACATGAGAGTTCACACTCAGCTAGCAGCAGTTTTCTCCATTATCTCAGGAACCCCCTTTCTCCCCAGCCTTCATTACTGTGATCTGACCTATCTTCAGTGGGGAACCAATATGCTGCAGTATCTCAGTAGCATGGAGAGGGTCACTGTAGCCTTTGAGCCAGAAATGCAAACAGTAGGCCTCATAGCTCAGGTAGGATACCTTGGCTGACAGAAGGGGAGAAGTGTGTGTGTAAGGAAATGAGCTGTCACTTAGCCTTGCCTGTCTTTGTGGGTGGGACTCCTCAACAACTGACAGCCCCTTCCAGTGGCAGATAGTTGTGAGCCTTGGCATGCTGCTCAACTTTAACACCCAGTGCAGTGCCTGACAACAAATCCATACAGCCTTCAATAAATCTAGTAAATAGACAAAGGTGTGTAAGCATTCTTTTATTGTGACTAGCCTGTTCCCAAGTTTGTAGCCTTTTCTGCAAACTCAGTCTGATACTTTCTCTGGTCAGGGAAGCCCAAAAGGAAATGACCTTTGTGGTTAGGGGTGCTCTGTCAGGAGTAACTAGAGTGGGTTTAAGAGCAGAAGAGAGGGGCTGAAGAGGGTATAGCCCACCCCATGAGTCTGGGTTTCTCAGGAACAGGTTGTTAATGGAAACTAAAGACAAAGAGTGGCTGCAGAGTGATGTTCTCCAATTCTGGCTGGAGCTGCTGCCTCTTAAGATGGCAGAGAAGAGGCTATGGTGGAGATAAATGTCCCAGCCCCAGGCTGGTTATCTCCCAGAAACAAGTCTTCTCTCACCATCTCTGCTGCCCTCTGGAGAAGGAAGAGGGTCATACAGATGGCAACTTTAGCATCCTCATCCATCCCTCAACAGGGAAAGCCAGGATAGGTGAAGATCTGCCCCTTCATTTAACAAGGTAAAGTTGGGGCTGCCAGTTCTTAGCTTAGATCTCCTCCTATCCCACCATGCTGCTCCCAGCCCTAGCCCACCTGATCCACAGGTTCCTCTGTCTGGGTATCTTCATCATCATCTACTTTCTGGGCCCCTTCTGTTTCGCTCCTTGGGTGGAGAGCCCCGTATACTCCTTTGACTCCTGACAAAGGATGCAGCATGGCTGATGCCCAGGCTGAGGAGCCATTAGCATCCCCTCCTTGATCTTCTCCACCAGCCCCTTGCTCTCCTGATCCCTGTTCTACATTCATCACTCACTATCCCATAGAATGGAGGGAAGTTGAGAGGCAGGTCTTTCACCCTCCACACCCATCCCATCCCACCCCTAAAGGTTCCTTTTTTAGGGTTAAGCATTGTCTGCTCCTTGTGCTGCTTTAATGCAAAGCCCCTGTGAAGAACAAATGACTGGATATACAAACCAGGGAGTTAAATATCTGAAGTGAGGGCCAGCTCATTTCTGGGACATTCCACCCACAGACTACAGAGACCATCTTGTGTCTCTGTCAGAGTGGCTGAGCCTGTCCGAAGGTAACTGGGAAGGGCCTGGGCCCAGCAGCCCCTTACCTGATGAAGATGAGAGAAGTGGGAGTTTACTTCTTGGCTGAATGGCCTTCTGGGGTCTGGCATAGAAAGCTGATGGCTCAACTTGGCCTGGCTTCTTTGGAGTGGGCTGGGTTGCTTGTGCCCTGTGACCATGGACCTATAGAGGGGACATTGGAATTGGGCCATAGGTGCTGGCTGCTTTTACTTTCTCTGCTCCTTACTCCTGGCTCTGTGTCCCATACCTGAGGGAGTGTGGGAGAGGAGATGCTGTTCATCTCAATGGCCTATATCCTCCTTCTCGCTCCCCCCTCTGTCGGGCTGCCCTATTCCAGGAATGAAACAGTGTCCTTGGCTCTCAGAAAAGCCCACTGCCTTGTTCCTTGAGAGGATTCAGACCTGGCTGACTCAGAACAGGGAGGTGAACAGTTTCCTTATACCCTGCTTTGCTGGCTATGTCATTTTTCTCCCAGAATCTAACCTAGTCAAAAGGAATTAACACCAGCAGCTCAGAGTTCTGAAGACCTTCTTAGACCTGGATGAACTGGCTCTCAGACAGGGTGTATCTAAAGTATGGCAGTCATGGCATGTGTCCTGGGTACCAGCTGAGAAGTTTCCATCCCCAGTTGTGAGATCATTCAGCAAGTTAAAACTAGTATTTCCATATTTGAGACCCTCCACAGGTCAAGACAGACTCTGATATTGCTCTGCTAAATGTAGAAAAAATTGGATAACCCTATTGTAGACATATTTCCACCAGCAAAAGCAAGGAAAGTGCAGTTGTAGTTTTCATGCAGTGCCATGATGTGGACAATGAAAGATAAATGATCTTGATTTGTATTTCTGAGCTGATATAATACTGTTATCTAAAAGATAATGTCAGTGTTTGGACACAGGCACAATTTCAGTGCTTACCACTGGTGCCATTTTCCATAGATCAGCCTGTGCTCTCAGACCCAGCTCTGGCCTGGCTCCTGCCATTCAACAACTGTGACTCTAAAGAAATAATTTTACTTCTTTGAGCTTTAGTTTCCTACTTTGGAAAACGGGGATAATAATCGGCACAAGCTTATTGGAAGAATACAGTGAGATCGTCAAGGTCTAGATCCACCACCAATCACCCTTCCTTCCCACATCCACAGCCCCTGCATCACCTACCCGTTGTTTCTGGGGCTTTGACTTCTGGTCAGGGGGATGCCTGCAATGAAAAGACTGGTAGACAAGAGAGGACGTGGACCCTGAGAGCACATAGACGGGGAAAGTGACTTCCTCTGCTCCTGTCTAGTACTCTGCCACTCATGCATACATACCAGCAGCCCCTGGGCAGGGAGGGGCCAGGCACTAGCAGTTCAAGGTAGGGGAGGGCCTTGAACTCATCCTCTCCGACAGCCACATAGTAATGACCATTCACCAGAGACTCCCCTGCCAACATTGGGAGCCCCTCTAGGGTGCAGAGTCTGCAGAGGAGAGAGGCAAGTAGGAAAAGGGCCAGTGGACAGCATAATATTTGGCAAAAGGGAGCTCTGGTGGCCTAGTGGCAAGAGGCTGTGTGGTAACCCCGAAGTCATGTAGTTCAAATCCACCAGATGCTCTGCTGGTGAAGTAGGAGCAATCTCCTCCTGTGCCAGTCGAACCCGATTTGACAGTACACAACAAGGGAAAAAAAATATATGACAGAGGGAGTAGATGCCTACAGTGCCCTGGTCCCTGAGCACCTGGGCATAAGAGCCAGTCACATCAGCTCTGCTGTGACTCCAAGGGCTGGGCCTCGGGCCTCTCCTGTGGCATAAGAAATCATTTGGGGGAATCATGTGTTTCTTTTGCCATTTCATATTCAGAGACATCCCAAAACAATTGGAAGATTTCCCTTCTCCAGTCCCATACTCACTTGCACACAGCCCCAGTCTGCAACTTGGCCTTCTCTGTCAGGAGCTTCAGCACCGTTTCCCAGTCCTGCCTGGCAGCCTGGGACAGCTTCAGGCTAAATGGGGGACTTAACAGGTCTCCATTCCTGAACACACTGTGACAAAGAGCAGCCTGGTAAAGGGGAGTGCCCAGACCTCCACGCATGTGAGAGGAATAAGGGTAGTGTGGTTCCAGTACCATTGCATTGATCCATCCTCACCCATTAAGCGTGCCAGACTTTCTATATTCCCACCAGTGGCCAAGGGCTCTTGAAGCAAATCCATCCCCAGTTTCTCAGTCTCATTAAAACAATAATCTGTATCCCCCCTCCCCCCGTGCTTCCCAACACTAGCACTTACTGGATATAGCAGGGGACACCTGCAGGCAGCCACCGTCCAAGGGCCCCTTCACACACGTGGTGAGTCATGGGAGGACCCTGAAACCCAAGTCCGTTCCCAAGGTTGGAGAAGGTAGGATCCCTGGTTAGGGGTGGATCAGTCCATGGTGGGTGTGGTGAAATGGGGAGGCATGGGAAGCAGAGGACCATTCACATGTCTCACCAAGGCATCCTCCCCTAGGTCATCTCACTTTCTACCCCCACCTGTGCATCTGGGCTGGCTGCTGCTTTCTCAGAGGACCACAGCCTGGAGATAAAAGGCTGGGAAATGGGCAAAGGATAGTGACATAAACTCCTGAACCCTGTGAAGACTAAGAGTTCATTCCAGAGTGGGCATAGGGAGAATCCCCATGGAAATGGGAGGATCCAGGTGTTCTCAGCCTCCCTAACTTCCCAGACAAAACTGGGGGCAGTCCTAGGAGGGGTGGAACGACAGGGGAGCTGGAGTGACTCACTGGCCATCTGCTGCTCTTCCTGCCTGGATCCTTCCCCCCAGGGGGTAAATAGCTGAAAGAACGGATAGGTTACAGATCAGACCCACAGCTGCCAAAGTCCAGGGCTGGAGGTCAGCTCAGCAGGTCTCACTCCACATTGAACCTCTGCCCTTTCAATCTAGAATCAGATGCTTGACATTTGATCCTGCCTTCTTAGGCTGGGAATCCAGACTGGGATCTCAGATACAAGCTTTATTTTCAAAAGACTAAGAGAAACTATTTCATTAAGCATTTAACTATATCCCAAGAATTCATGAGGTAGGTAGTTTATTTTGTCTGAGACTCAGGATTGAAGTGACTTACTCCAGGTCCCCCCAGGAAGTAATTGTCCAGATTCCGTCTAGTTCTAAACTCCTTGTTCCCTATATATAGTAAGCAAAATTAGCTGAGAACCAACAGTGGGACATCAAAGCCGGGATTGAGTTAGTTCAGATACTCAGATTCTTCTCCCACCTTGGAAAATACAGCTCCACCCTGCTATGGGGTATGATCATTTAACAAGAGAACAGAGGATGCTTAACCAGTTTGGGGGAAATAATGGACTTCAGAGTATCTGGTGGTGGTAGTAGGAAAAGCTTTTTTGTTTTTGTTTTTTTTAATTATTATTTGTGTGTGTGTACCGTCAAATCAGATTTGACTGGTACAGGAGGAGATTGTTCCTCCTTCTCCAGCAAAGCATCTGATGGATTTGAACTGCTCATCTCTGGGATTGCAGTGTACCTTCTTCCCACTACACCACCAGAGCTCGCCAAGGAAAAGCTTTTTGTAAGAAAGCAAACGGCAGGAGTTTATCTCCCTCTCACAGCATGTGATAGCATAAGGAACTGTAGAAGACAGTGATCTGAAACAACGTTCAACATTTACACAGGTTATTTAACCTTGCTGTCTTGGTTTCCCCTCCTAACTAATGGGGATAAAATCATCTTCTTCATAGGTTATTATAGTCCATGAGAAAACAAATACAGTGCCTAGTACACACACACTAAGTCCTGAGCAAATGCTAGCTTTCCCTCCCTAGGCTGTCTGAGCAGCCCAGCCCACTCACTGGAGTTTGCAGAATCTTTCAAAGCCAGCAGCCACATACTGCCCTCCGTTCTGCAGCTCTGCCATGTCAGTGACCCGGTGGCCATGACAGAGTGTGTAGAGTGCACGCACAGCCAGTGGGGCCTGCACAACTGATGTCACCTCACAGAGGAAGCTCTCCAGGGTGGGGAAGCGGCGAGGAGTCACCAGCAACTGGCGGCCTGGAAAGAAGGGATCCCCATTCTTGTATACCACTACCCACCTGGCTCCTTGACTGCCACCTGCCATTGCTCCAGCCTCAGCCAGAGACGCGAAGCTGTTGCCAGGGAACCAAGGCTGGGTTGGGAGTGGTGCCAGTCAGAGGTGGAGTCCTGTCCTCTTGGCCAAGAAAGCAGGGAGAGCTTCCAGAAACATCCATCCACAGGCATCATACAATCTGCTCTTACAATGGAGAAGCAGCTTCAGTTCAGAGGTGGTGAATTCCTGTACCTATGAAGCCAGGTCTAAACTGAAGGCTTACATACTCAGATTCTCACAAAGGTCTCAGAGTACAGCAGGACAAAATGGGTTAATCTAGAGGAAATTATGCTGAGTGGCATAAATCAGGCCCAAAAGGACTATTATGGTTGTTATTTTTGTAATGTGCCATCTAGTCACTTGCATCTCATAGCAACCCTATGTACAACAGCTCTGATCCCTATGCCTATCTTGGGCCAGTTTCATTGTCTACAACATTACCAGTGACTGAGTCAATCCATCTCATCCAGGGTCTTTCTCTTATACTGTCCTTCCATCTTTCCAAGCATGATGTCCCTCTCCAAGGACTTGTTCCTCCTCGCAACATTCCCAAGGTATGTAAGACAGAGCTTCAAAATCCTTGCCTCCAAGGAGCAGCCTGGTTTGACTCTCTCCCGGACAGACCTGTTTCGTCTTATCAATCCATGGTATGTTCAATACTCTTCTCCAGCATCACAACTCAAAGCATCAACTCTTTTATAACCCTTGGTCATCGTCTAGCTCTCTGATGCTTAGCAAGTAATTAAGACAACCATGGCTTGGATCAGGTAAATCTTGGTCTCTAGAATTACACTGTTGCACTTCAATACTCTGGAGAGGTCCCTGATAGCAGATTTTTCCCAATGCAATTCATCTTTTGATTGCCTGTCTACTGGTACCAAGAGTGTTGATTGTGAAACCAAACAAGCTGAAGCTGTTAACAGTCTCAATCTCTTCTCCATCTGTCATGATGCTGCCAATTGGTCCAGTGGTGAAAATCTTTGATGTTGAGCTTCAATCCATATTGAAGGCTACAGTCCTTGACCTTCTGCAGCAAATGCCTCTGGTCCTCCTTAGTTTCTGTAAGCAAGTATGGTTGTGTCATCTACATTATGCAGGTTGTTGATGAGTGTTCTACCAATCTTGATGTTGTATTCCTTCTCAAGTTCAGCCTCCCAATGATATGTATTGAAAAGATGTGAGATAGGATGCATCCCTGGCATCCTTTTCATAGTGTTTCCTTGTTCTGTTCTGAGGACTGCTTCCTGGTCCAAGTGTAGTTTTCACATGAGCACAATCAAGTGTTCTGGGATTCCCATTTTTTTCAAAGTTAGCCACAATTTGTTGTGAACCACACAGTTAAATGCCTTTGCACAGTCAATGGGACAAAGACATTCCTTTGGTACTCTGCTTTCAGCCAAGATCCATATGACAATGGCCATAATGTCCCTAATGCCAAGCCTCTTCTAAACCCAGCCTGCACATTTGGCAGTTCTCTGTTGATGTACTATTAAGGTCTAAGACTACTATTATAAAATGCTGAGGAAGGGTTTAACTCACAGAATCATTCTTGGATAATAACCCAAGGATAAAATCAGAAGAGAGGGTAGGGGAAAAAATAAATTGGATGAAAAGCCACTATAAAACAAGTGGCTTTTATAAAGTGTGATTAAAAAACCAGTATGACTTAGAAACATTCTCTCAAAGGAAGAAAGAAAACCAAACCAGAGTACAAGAAGTCTGATCACGATTTTTGTAGGAAACCCTGGGACTCAGAGAGGGAACCACAGTCAAACAGGAGTAGCAGACCTGACACAATATAGAGAATTGGAGACAGCTCCAGGGATGATCCTTGCCTCCTTCCACCCCTTGTCAGCTTTGGAGGGCCTTCTCCAATGTTCCTAAGGATCTTGGTAGGAAAAGTTGAGGGTCAGCGAAAGAGGGGAAGATCCTCAATGAGATGAACTGACAAAGTGACTGCTACAAGGGCTTGTGCATGGCAGAGATCATGAGGATGGTACAGGATAAGGCAAAGTTTCACTCTGTCATCATAGGGTTGTTCTAAGTCATAGTCAACTTGATAGCACCTGACAACCTCATGGATGATGGGCCATTACTCCTGAATGGCTTCTGGGTCACTCCTCTCAGTTGGTTCTGGGAAGGACGCATCTTACCAGTAGGAAATAAACAATAGGGCCTCAAGTCAGAGGCAAAAGATGAAGACAGCCAGGCTCATGGTCTAAGAAAAATCTTTATTCTCCATCTGGTCCTTAACTTCACTTTCCCCAGATAACTCCTTGCTCTGAACTGAGCCACAGGGAGAGCATGAAAGAATATTGTCCTCTCTTCTTCTACTAGTGTTACTCTTTGCTCGACCTCCTCTCGACTCTCCTAGTCACCCATGACCACAGCAGGGAAGAAGATTTAATACTTGAGAGCCGGGATGAGGTCCTGTCCCACTCATCATGTTTTCACAGCATTCTCCTTCACTGGTCCTCCCTGATCCCCCAGGTTTAGCCTGGTGGTCCTGTTTTCCATGGCCTGCCCCTCCAGTGGTTCTCTCCTGGACAGTCTGACCCTGTGGGTAACAGGTTGTCAGATGACCTTGATCTATACAGTCCAGTCCTCTGGTTTTCCCATTCTTCCTGGTTAGACTCACTAAAGTGTCCTTGTTGGAAGTTCCAACACTGATTGGAAGTTCCACCACTGAGGGTCTGGCCTGTGGGTAATTTTATTCTCCAGACACCCAGGCCACTATGGTCTGGTTCTACCAAGGTTTCATCCCAGATGACATGGTCTTTTGAGCAGTCTGACTCTGGTGGTCCAGCTCTCTGGCAGTTAAGGTCTTGGCAGTGTTGCCTTCTGGAAGACTTGTTCTCAACAGCTGGTTCCTCAGAGCACATAAGCAGCTGTGTCCTGGCTTTCTTAGAACAATGGCCCCTGGGTATGAGGTCACAGGTCCCACTGGAGGGCTATGCTCCATCATCTGGCTTTTTGGTGAGTCTGTCCCCCATGGCCTGATTGTCTGATGGTGTGGGCAGCTGTGATTCAGCCCTCCTATAGCACAGTTTCCTGTTCTTAGCCTCAGCAATGGTTTTATCCATAGTGGCCAGTCTTTCTGAGAATTTGTGAGGTTGTGGACTGACTCTCTGGCAGGACTCATCCACATGATCTAGCTCTCTGGTGGTCTTGTCCTCCAATGGTGTACTTGGCTGTACATGCTCCCTCTCACAGGCCTGTCCCACGTGGTCTGGGCACATAATGGGCTCATCTCTGGTCTGGCCTGCTTCTGGTGAGCTCAATGTTTTTTTAAGAATTAGGTACTGTTGAGAAAGAGAAAAGACACTGTAGTAGTCATGCTTCCTTGGTCATGGCGACAGACCTTCCTTCCCCCCTCCTTTTGTCCCCAAATGTGTAGAAAGGGCTCTCAATCAGTTTCTACCTCCTTACGACTATTGATGGCCTGTTGTAGCCACAGCAGCTCCATGGCCAAGTGGCTGCGCAGGTGCTGGATCTCCTGGAGTTCAAGCTGGCTGGTGGTTTCTGGATTGGTGGTTTCTGTGAAAGAAGGAAGAGCGAGCCTTAAGAGGCAGCGTGGGGTGAGGTGGAAGAGGTATACTGAGCAGTCCTAGCCCTGGCAAGTTGACATTCTCCCCCATTCACCCATGTGTTGCCCCAGTCAAAAAGAGGTAAAGAAGGGATGTGATTTTTCCAGGCTTTCACTTTTCAGAAAGGAAACAAGGCCCAAAGTGGGTCACGACTGGCCCTGATCTAGGCATAGGTACCTGGACTCTCCATCCTTGATGAATCTCTGGTTTCTCCCTGGCTAAGTTTCCCAGTTTTCCTGCTCTGCTCAGCCTTGGGGCCAGAGCCATCTTCTTGGTAGGGAAGCCTTCCAAGGTTTGCTGGGTTCTCTCCTGACTTCATCATTTTCTTTGGCTGTCGACCTGCCAAGTGGCTCCCTAGTTCCTTCTTTGGATTTGACACTCTCTCTCCCGTTTTCCAAGTCTGATGGGATTTTACATTCTAAGAAATTGAAAAATCAGTCAGATGTATGAAAGCCCTAGAGTCAACCCCCTCCCAGTATCTGCGCATCAGCAGACAAGGTGGTCAGAATTAAGAACTTGGTGTGAGGCGGTGCATTTATTGCCTCTCCCAGAAGGTTAATGCAGGAAGTGTGGGTTCCACCCAGAAGAAAGTAGGACGAGTGTGCTCAATTACATCCTTGAATGCCCTACCCAGTTCTCTTCTCCTCCTCCTCCCTTCTCTCCTTGGGGTGTGTACTACCTTTGGGAGAAACTGGGGCCTGGCAATGCAGCCCTGTGACCACTTCACCACGCTCAGGTCACCTTCAATCTCCCGTACTGTACTCTCATACTCAGCTCGCAAATTCTGGAACTGTCGTCGGACCAAGAAGCCCCGGACACAGGCCTAGTGTAGAGAATGAAGGGGAGAAGAAACACTTACGCAAGAGCGACCAGGCATGCTGAGGCTTTCTCCAGGACAGGTCATCCTGGACGCTGCTGGATAAGTCACAGCCACCGGAACAGGCAGGATAAGGGACACTGCGGAGGGGCTCGGAGGAGGATCCTCACTGCGCTTTAAGGCCTTTCCCACGATTGCCCTGACCCCCGAAGCAGCTGTAGTGGAAACGGGGGAGGAGCGGGGAAATCCTAGGGTTCCAGTGCCCTTCGGGGTGGTGAGTTGTGAACCGGCATCTCCAGAGGTTAGCACGTACTCAACGTCCCCCTTCTCAGAGGACAGAAGGTGATACCCCATCTCGTCCTAGATCTGAGGGGAAACCAGGTGCACCCTCCACCCTCCTATCCTCTCCCCGCACCTGCAGAACCGACACCTTCAGAAGCAACTCCTTCCGTTCCATCGCAGACTCAACGGTCCACCCGCCGACCTGCCGCCTGTGCGTGCGTCACCAGCGCACGCCACGCCTCAGCCTCGCGCATGCGTCACTGGCTCTTCAGCCCGCTAGGGCCCCGCCCCTGCTGTCTCCAGGGCAACTGTTCGCCTGGGGCTAGAAGGGCCTCATAGCCACTTTTCTCTTTGTTTTTGTCACTTTCTCTCCCGAATTCCACCCCTGGAGCCTGACTGAGGTGTCCAGCCCCCTGCCCCGTCCCAAGAGGGACTTCCCAAAAGAATATTGCAGAGCAGTGTCTCCGCGGAGCCTGGGACCCTTGACATTGCCAGTGAGCAAAGGAACAAGAAGAGAAGAGAGCACACAGAGCTGCTTGCTTTCTTTCGAGTTTAATTCCACCTAGTACCCCCCTCCTCATAGCACCTGGGGGGCCGTTGAATATCCTCCAGAGTCTGAAAAAGTCACAGTTTGAAGAAGATAAAAAGAGGCAGTCTGGGCCTTGGTCAGACACCTATACAGCTGACTGCTCCTCGGGCTCAGCATTCTCAGCCAGGTGCAACTTCTGTCTGTGACAGCTAAGGACTGTAACACCTTGGTCTCAGTTATCTCTCTTAACTCCCATCTTCCCCTCCTCCACAGGCTTAGTTTGGCCAACAGAGTAAATGGGCTGGCCCAGAGTCTGGAGCTCCTGTGTGCGCACAAGCTATTTCCAACTGAGAAGTCTAAAATTATTGAAAAAGAATTGTTCAGTGCTGAGGACTTTAGGCAAGTTTTGCTATGGATTGATGTCAGCTAAAGAACTTGTTTGCTAGGGAGCTCTGATGGCTGCTTACTGTGTGATGTCTGAACCAGCTCTTAGGTGACCCTCCAGGGGAAATGACTGGTAGGTGACTCTCCAGAAGATTTTCAGGGAAGTAAACTATATGGAAAGAGATTGCCATCTTTCTCCCACAGTGTAGCTGGTGGATTTGAACGATGTGCCTTTGAGATTGCAGCTCCTCCCTACGGGCACTAAGCTCTGGAGTTTAGTGGCGAGGAATTGTTTTGCCAACCAGAAGACATATGGTTTGAATCCATCAGCTGCTCTGCAGGTGAAAGATCGTCAGTCTCTTTCCATGTGATTTACTACTGTTGAAAACTTGCTTGAGGGCCAGCTATGGGTCATTTCTGATAGCAACCCTATGAACAACAGATCTGAACTTTGTTCTCCCTGTGCCATCCTCACATTATACTCAGGCCCATTGTTAACATATTCTCCCAATCTATCGTGTTGAGGGTCTATCTGACTCTCTGAATTTTGACTCATTAGGAATTACAAAGGGATTGTAATGTTGAATATATATGAGTACCTCTGAGAGGGTGGAGAGTAGGAGGAATGTGACCCTACCTTTGGGACACATACACACTGCCAGTGCTCTTGAAAGGATACATAGAATTGCTAAGATCTTCCAGCTGTCAACAGAAAGAAAAAGAGGTTTCTGTCAGGAGGGGCATTAGGTAAAAATCTAGGTGCTCTGGAGGAATCGTAATCTGGTGGGTATTGAAGATTTAATTGAAACCATGACCCCCACCTTTTCATCCTGGGGCCAGAACTATCTTGGAAACATGTGCCTCCCCTATGTCCTGTTCCCCTAAGAATTTAAGCAACCAACCAGGACCCACATTGCTTAACAGCTGGTCTAGATTTCGGTCAGCCATTGTCTTCTTCTGCTCCTCAGGTAGCCCCTCAGTGACACCATCCTCTTCCTCCTCCTCTTCCTCCTCTCCACACACGTCCAGGCTGAAGTGGAGCCGAGCCAGCTTTTCCTGCATCTCCCGGACATGCTCCAGCTGCTCGAAGGAGCATTCCTTCCCTGAAAAACTTTTGTCTGAGTCCTGGAAGCAAGCTCGGGGTTTGGCCTTAGCCTTTCCAGTCCCTCCCACATATCCTCCAGGTGCAGACCCCAGGACTCACCAAAAGCTTGCAACCGGCCTGAGTGGAAATCATTGAGCAGGTTTAGCAGTCCACCCTCCATCTCATAGACATCAGTCACCTCAGTCAGGAAAGAGTGCTGCAGCGGTGTGCCTGCAGAGCCGCCCCCACCTCCAGCCAGCACTGGTCTGCATTTCTCCTTGCCTGCCCTGAAATAACGGGTATGATCTATTATAGTCACAGGCTGAAACAGCCAACCAGGTATCCCAAGATCTTCTGTGCCTTGTATTAATGCATCTGCCATCCACCCACCAACATCAGTGGATGTGGGGTCTTCTGACCCTGCACTAAGTGCCAGATTTGATAGTAGGAAGGAGAAGTGAAGGTAAGAAATCTCTGCTAATGACCCTAACAGCCAGAGTCATATCTGGAAGGAGGCTATTACTGAATTCCCTTCTCTCACTCCTCCTGTGACCCCGAGGGACTTGTCTTCCCTGGCCTTTGTGAATTTGTTCCAGAAGGACAATTACAACCTTATTACCACCAGGACCAGTCTGTTGATGGTATCTGCCTTCAAGTAGACTCTATGTGTGTCATGGCTGAACTGCTCTGTAAGGTTTTCAAGGCCATGACTTTTCAGAAGTAGATCGATCACAAGGCCTGTTGTCTAAGGTGCCTTCTATATGTTTGAACCTCCAATGTTGAACAGTTGAATGTTTAACCATTTGTCCCACCCAGGGACTCTTACAAATAGATAATTACCTCTAAAGTGGCATTTTAGGGGACTTAATTTGAGTTCTGTGTTGTGATCGAATAATCATTGCCTCTACTTTCACCTTCTCTTAGGTAAATCTGTAAATTGACAAGACTCATTTCCCCAAGAGTCATTTACTGTCTTCTCTCCTCCTTGTTCTCAACAACGGCATATTTGACACCAAACGTGTGCTGCAACCAACCCAGGAAGTTTAGAGGTACCATGTACTCAGAAAAGCTTAGTATACATGTGGGACACTTGTACAGTGAGGCACACCCTGGTGGGAACTGCCTAATTATAGCCTGTTTTGTTGCTTCAGATCCAGAGGAGAACTGCCAAGTCGGGTTTCCTAGGCAGATTGCAAACTGTCACATCACATCTTTTCTTCCACAGAGTTGCTGAGAGGTGAGTTCACAGATCAACCTTTCAGTTAGCAGCTGAGCACTTAACAATGCACCATGAGGGCTCCCAGCTCCTGTTTTACTCTCCAAAACTATCTTCCTGTTCCTCTTCTATTGAAGCCGTTTTGAGTCCTCTGCTGCACTCAGAATAACCTCAAAGGCTGTTTCTGTGTGACACTGGCCACTCTAGATGCATCTCCTACAATTTCCATCTCAGCCCCAAGCTTCAGCTACAACCCCACTAGCCATCCCCAAACACACCCCTCAGACAGGCGGTGTACAAAGCCATAGGGAAGAACAGTGATTTTATAAAGGGGGGGAATGAAGGAAAAACATATTATCTTTAGTGGAAAACAAACATAAACACTTTTTAGGACAGAATAGAAATTCTCAATCATAAAAAAAATTTCAGACATCAAATTACATACCCTGGCCTCCCTTCTGCATCTCCTGAGGCCCCCACCCCAGAGTCACCACAACACCCAGGTATTCAGAACTTCCTAGGTTGTATCTGTCTTATATGCTTGAGACAAGAGGCCTTGCAATCTGGACTATCATTCCCTCATTAGGTATCCAAGAGCCAGGAGGAGCACAGTGAGGGCTGGCTGTGAGTGTCATTAGCAGAGACTTCTTACCTTCACATCTCCTTCCCTCCACCAAATCTGGAGCTCAGTGCAGGGCTAGAAGAGGAAACATCCACTGCCACTGGTGTATGGATGGGCGGATGCATTAATACATTAATGCCTTCTCTGAGGGTATCACCACGCTATATGTGACTCTGATGACCCACATGGGCCTCTCTTCATGTCCTTGAGGGCTGGGATAGGCCTGAATATCTCTGAAGTTCCCTGAGACATGCTACTAGCTGAGGCCAGCCCAAGGACAGCATCAGTTACTGCTTAATAATTAAAGCTTGGAGTGCCCGCCTGCCTAGGAGGAGGCCTTGCCTGCTTCCCTGTGTACTCACCTCTTGAATTTGGCCCGCTGCTTTGGAGATGGCAGGTGAGGGAGTCCTAGGGCTAAGGAGCCACTGTGACTGGTGGGCACAGGGACCCTGCGTAAAGTGCCAGGGGCCTGGGCTGGTTGAGTCAGGCAGGGCTTGGGACTTCTCTTCTTCTTCTTGTCATCCATTGGGTGCTGGCTGGGCCTCAGGCCCTAAGAAATGGGAAAGCCCCATTGAGATAGTTAGGGATCCACCTGACCCTTCACTTAACCCCTGAGATCCTCAAAGGAAGGGTCCTGGGGCCTTCTAACCCTCACAGATGTCAGGGCCATCTCTCCTCCTTAGTGTCCCAGAGGCAGCTCTGATGCCAGCACCTGCTCCTGGGCTTCTGGGCGTAGATTTGAAGGTTCTTCCCTGACTCACTCTCCCCTCCTCCTGCCCACTAGACTCAGCCAGAAAACTAGGTCCTTCCTGAAAGACCTGGGCCAGACACCATTGTCCTACTGTAGCTGTTGGGGTTTCCTGTCCCTGTGGCCTCTGGGGTGGGGCTGACAGAGGAAACAGAGGGAAGACAGGGTGGACTGGAGCTGGCAAGAGCTCAGCTGAGTATTAGGGGTGTGTTAACCATGCCTGCTACTTCTTTCGCTGAGCTGACATTGAGAAATCTTTCATATGGGAAGTGACAAAGGCCTGGGAACACTTAAGAGGCCCCAGTGTGAAGCAGAAGCCACCAGGAGTGAGAAATAGCTGAGGAAGTCTGGGCCCCCAGGACAGTGTTCTCCCTCCGGACACTGGCATCCATCCTCCACCACCCCGGACAATGCACACGGCGGGGGCGGTGGGAGGGGCGACTCCAAGAAGTTGCCTGGGACATGCTTCTCTTCTGTCCTGGTCAGCAAGTCCCTCACTCCACTCACAAACTGTCAGCATCAGCTGCTGCCACAGTGCGGTGGGGGGTCAGCAGCTGGGTGCCTTAGCTGTCAACAATGGCTGAGCCTGTAGCTGAGCTGGCACGGCTGCTGGCCTCAGGTCCAGCCTCGCCCCTCAGGCTTGAGTCTTCAGGGGTCTGTCTTTCTGTCTGATTCCCAGAGCTGACTGCCCCAGGCTGAGCCACCTGGGCAGACGCTGCACTCCGAGATGGTGCAGTAATGGTGAAACAGTCTAAACTGGTACCTGGCTGACCAGCTGGCACTGGATGGGTCTAGGGGTGTGGTGGGTGGCTACATGAGCAACAGCATCCTCCCCTCCCCACAGCAGCTTGACCCAGTTAAGGACGCAATGTAGCGCTGGCGCCTCCGCCCCCTGGAGCAGCTGGGGGCGACCAGGGATCTGTTTCCTACACTCTGAAGTCGTGCCGGATGGATTGCTCAGTTCAGGAGATCGGAAAGCGAGTGTCAGACCCACATTACGGCTGCCCCCCACAGCTCCCAGGGGCCACTGACCTGGACACTTGGAGGCTTAGGGTATCGGCAATGCTCTGGTGTAGGTTCCTCCTGTCCTCAGTTCTCTCCTCCCGGGATAAGAGACCGGGTGATGCCGAATCTAAGCAGCCAGGAGGTAATTTGCATTTAAAGGGAAAGTGAGCTGCTTTAGAGCTCTGGCTGGAGTAAAGGGGGTGGGGAGGGAGGAGCATCCCCATATTTAACTGTTCTTGTCTCCTGATTTTACCTCTCTGCCTGAACTAAGGTGACCCTATTTGTTGTGTAATGACAACTGAAACTGAGTTTCACTTTTCACATCCATTTCTGAAAGAAGCTAGTTCCTTACAAAATGGTGGTGGCTTCGTTAGCGCCAGAGAGAAAGAGCTCCAGAGAGAGCTCGCCAGAGAGAAAACGAAAGTGTGTGTGAGAGAGAGAGAGCCCTTACTAAGCATTTCATGTACATTTAATCCTCATAACCACCTTGAAGGAAGATACCATCATCACCCATGTTTTTTCTAAAGCTTTCCTAACCCTCAGCTGCTTCCCAGAAAGCCACAGGGGTCCAGAAATTTGTCCAAGTGGGAGGTGCAGGAAACCTCCACCACCTTAAATAAGTTTTGAGCCCCTCCAGGGGCCATGTGAAGGTCTGGGCCTGTGTTGTCTGGCCCTTACCCAGGAGTAACAGATTTGCTTGTAATTTGCTGCTCTGGCTCTGGCTCTGGCTCTGAGGGAGAGTGGTACTGCTCTCAAAACACTGAATGATTGTTGGGCGGCCACAAGAAGACCTGGTGGTGCAGTGCTTACTGTGTCTCAGGCTGCTGGCCCTGAGGAGGGTCACTGCAGAGTTTGAGATAGCAAGGAGGGGGCTGTAGTCTCATCATTTTTACCTTCTCCCCACCCCACAGAAGAGAGGAACAGGGAGCCCCAGGCTGGAGAAAAGACCCAGTGGTTCCCAGGGTTCAAGACGGAAACCTTTCCCAAGAGGGAAATCAGGATGTTTCTATGCTGCTGGAGGCCAGATCGTAGATGGGGCAATTATTTAAAGACCTGGCGGATGCTGCTGGCTCAGGTCCCTAGAGCAGCATCTGATGCCATCCAAGCAACACTCATCCTTAGCATGCCTGCCCAGCTGTTTCAAGTAACTGCCACCTTCCCCCTCCTGCTGAGGGCAGTGGCTTTTCCTTGATCGGGCCAAGGTAGAGACAGATGGGCACTGCTTCTTCCTGGGGCACCTGCTCAGGATTCCATCACAGGCATTCTAGCACCCACCGGCAGGATCCAGCAGGGAAGATACTGATGACTTTCTCAAATAATCAAGGAGACTGTGCTTTGGAGAGGACAGCAGGGAACCATCTCCCCTCCTTACTAGACGGTAGTGCCACTGTCCCCTCAGCAAGGTTGGAAGAAGGACCAGGAGCATCTCTGAGGTTCCCATTAGTTGCTTCCATGGGGGGCTGACAGCCTGACGCCACATCTCCCACCCCTGCCAGAAGATTCCTTACTTAGAATCACAGAACCTCGGCCCTTATTAGGCTAGAAGGGGTGGAGGGAGGCTCTTCTCAGATGGACTGCTACAGCCAGTGTGCTGGCATGGCTACCCATGGGAACCTGCAGGGAAGAGCACCACTGTGACTGACGCCATGTGGGGTGTAATGTAGCATTCTTTGTGCCAGATCAACTCAGGTCCAGAACAGGGTGCTGCATGAGGCCAGCAATAGGGTGTCTCCATTCAGGAGGTTCAGAGGTGGGGACAGACCTGTGCAAGGAACCGGCTAATTCTAAAGAAGTGCACCGTGAGGTCTACAGTCTTTAATGGAATGTCCAAGAAGGATAAGTTTTGAAGATGCTGCTCAAAAGAAAAAGCGATACTGGAAAGGCCAGAAGCAGCCTCTGGGAGTAACAATGTTAAAAAAGGTGGTGGCTGTACAATATAAGTCAGACACATTCTGTGTGAAAAATATGGCAGAATTACAGAAGCCATGGGCAAGTAAAAGAATGAGATTCAGTGATATGGCTACACAATATAGTGAAGATAAAGAAATCCCTGTGATCCACTGAGGTATACAAGTGGTATGCTGACTTTTCAGGAGCTCTGCTCAGGCTGATCTGCTATATCCTGATCTGTGGTGACTGCTGGGTGGTGGGAGGGCTGAGGCAGGCTGCCAGGGCAGCCACAGCAACTGTGCCCACATCCTGAGGTCAGTGGGGTTGTTTCAAAGCAGAGGACAAAAGCACAGAAGGACCTGGTAGCACCAAATGACCACACAAGAAACTATTAAGGCAACAGACTCTTTATTTAATGTGGTTTAAAATACATCAAATCAAACCCCTGCCTGTTGTGAATACCAAAAGGAGAAAAATGCTGTCTGCACAGCTTCAAACAGATCTGGGAGGCTGAGTGAAGAGAAGAGAGTTACAAGGACACAGGCAGCTCCTGGGTAGAGTTTGAGGAGCAGGCAGGTGCATGGCTGTCCCTGGGTGACCATCTCTGTGCTGTGCACAGCAAGGAGGGTCAGAGCAGTCTCTGGACAATCAGTTCAGGCCTGCCCCTCCTCACCACCACAGGGTAGCCCACCATGAAAGGGAAATAACCACCTTTACAGAATTAACATTCTCATAAGCAAAGTGCCTGAGCTCAGCCCATCGTCCAAAACCTCATGGAGAAAAAAAAGTGCTGCTGACACCTCTCAGAATGTGGTGTACATGAATCCATGAAGCTTTCAGCTGGACAAGGTCCTGAGCACAGGTCACGGTCACCAGAGCCAGGAACTCTGACCTCTGAGCCTCACTTGCTGTGGTCCCTGGAGAAAAACTAGCAAAGAACCCTATACAGAACAGCTCTTGGTCCTAAAACTGAGGTCACATGCACGGACTCACCCCAGTAAGGAAGACACCAGCCTTCTTTCACGAAGAGGTCAGCCCCTTGCATCTGGCCCAGGCCCGTGTGTGCAGTACCCAGGCTCCTGGGCTAACTTTGGAAAGTGGAGAAAGCAGAGCAGCTGTAGTGTTTGGTGAGATTTGGTCAATGGAGAGGAACAGAAAGGGAGACCCCTACTTATGGCCTGGGTGCCGAGAAATAGCTGCAACCGAGAATGGGGTCTGTGTGCCTGGGACCCACATTTGTGAATCAGAAGGCTGACTGGGGCCACCTGCCCAGTGTGCTGACCCAGTAGGCTGCTGTACAGTCTGTCCACACCACACTGGGCTCTAGCAGACCCAGCCTCTCCCCTGGGCTTTAAAGAGGTAGCTGAAGCAAGGCAGGTGATGAGTTACACAGGCCACCTTGTGCCTTCTGCTCTCTTCAAGGAACAGGTGGGTACCTCTGCCTGTCCCTACACACTCCCCCCCCCATTTCCACAGGTCCCATGTGGGATTGGTGGCTCTTACATCTCAGTCTGGGCAGAGGGTTAGGGGAGGAGGGCTTCCTGTGGGAAGGCTTGGAGACAATTCTAAACAATGGAATTTTAAAGAAAGGAAGATCTTGGGAAACACATCCACTGAGTAATCTCAGCCAGGGATGGCAAACAGGTCTCAACAGTCATACCAACATATAGGGGATTTGATACAAACACAGATCTACTCTAGTGACACGTGCCATGGATATAGGAGGCAGATGGTGTCCTTTCAGTCACCATTTCTGATCTGTATGAGAGGATGGTTCGGGAAAAGAACATTCCTCATGGAACTGTTATCTGAGGGGTTAAGTGAAAGGCCGAGGAGTAGGCTAGCTACGGAGAAGGAAAGGTTGCCGACAATGGACTAGATTGCAGGAAATGTAGGGAGAAGCAGAAGTCCCATTGGAGATGGGCGCTGGGTTCAGAGCCCTGCTCCCTGAACCAACACTCAACCTGTGGTCCCTGAGGACTGCTCAGTGAAAACAAAAGAAGAAACTGGCTAATACTTTGGCAAGTCTGCAACCAGGAAAACTTTCAAAATATAAAAGTAGCAACAAACACAAATGTCGGCAGCCATTACTGGGGCTCAGGTGAGTGGGAATTCTCTTGCTCGTTGTCTACCTCTTGGGTAACAGTGGGGCTTGGCCTGTGGGATCCCACACAAAAGGGTGTGGAACCCCAAGGAGGACGTGCCTCAGCTATTATTCCTTGGGCAAGGAGTTACTGGCAAACAGAATGAGGGCCTCAAGGCCTGTGCATCCAGTGGCAGTGGACAGGCAGGATGCAGAAATGGACCCATAAAGCCAAGGGGGTAGTTGGGTGTGAGGCCCAGGATTTAGGCAAGCTTGTGGCAAAGCTATCAGAAGCTCTTTCCTTTCTTCCACTACAAAGTCTCTGGTCTCACTGAACAGGAAATCTCAGCACCCGCGTAACAAAGGCACCAGGTGGGCAGTGATACACACCCATCTGGTCAGGAACCCAGGCCCACTCCTCAGCACCCTTCCCCACTCGTCAGCAGATCCTCAATACAAACACTGTCATGTGCAAAAAATCCTTCAGAAAGAATCCTTTGGGTGATCTCTTGTCAATCATTTGTGCAGGCTAAAGAGGCACCTGTGAATAAGGCTACTGAGGAGCATCATTGGCCTGATCCTGGCACCACCTGAGGGTAGGAGAAGCAGTAACCAGCATCATCCCAGAAACATGCTCCAGCTCTCTCATCTGGGCAGGACAACAGTTCACGAGTTCTGGATACCCTGCCAAGGCTCTCCCCGTGGAGACCTTTTCCATGTCAAGAGAAGAAGAAATCTCCAAGGTAGCCAAGAGAACCCCCTTCTCACAAAAGACACACAGCAAGGCCTGGGTGTGTTACTTGTCAAAAACCCCCAGGGGCTGGGAGGGGCAGTCTCAAACCCAGCTGGCTGTGGAGGCAGCAGCTACAGATGACAGCTTCTCTTGTAAGACTCTTCAGCTCACAGATGAGCCACTGACCTAAGGTCTATACACACCACCCATTAATGCAAGTCCACTGTACACTTACAGATTGAAATGTATGAGGTCTTGCACATATGCCTTATGTATGTAAAACTGACCCACAAAACCCAAAGCTGCAATGTGTCAGATGCTAGCCAGGCAAGAGCACGGCACTGCTTTGTGGTGGGAGCCTTGTGTGGGCCAGGCTTGGCTGGGCTGCCTGCTCCCTTCCCAGCATCCCCATGGTATCAGGCTCTAGGGAGTAGTGGGATTGGGCTCCCAGGCCCCTGCTGGGCCCAATACTTCTGTGCTTGGTGCTCCTGGGAAACTTCTGGAGGCAGCTTCTGGAGCCCTTGGGGAGCTGGATGCTTGGGCTATGAGCCCCTCACCACCTTGCTCCTTACAGACAGTGGCAGCCTCTGGCCTTCGTTCAGGGCCACTGTCACCAAAGGGGCCCTGGCCACCCGCACTCAGGTCCTGTACCCTCTTGTTCAGGTCGTTGCGTTCTGTCTGTAGTGCCCGGCACAGCTTCTCCAGCCGCTGGATTTTCACCTGTAGGCCCTCTAGCTCCTTGTCCCGCAGTGTTTTCTGGAAAGAGAAATGGGCTCCTCAGTCCATCCTGTCAATCTCCCACTTAGTGCTTTTACAAGGTGAAAGTAGAGAAGAGGCAAAGGTGGAGCCCTTTCCTAATCAACAGCCCTGGTTTATGGCATGGCTTCTGACTGTCAGCTGAGGCTGTGTGACACAGTGAGGGAGCATAGTTCAGTTGTCCAAGAGCTCCTCTATTTAGCAACCATGAGATCCTGACAAAATACTTGGTGTTTGAATTTTATCTGCAAAAGTGACTTTCAACACCAACCTCATGGATCTGAAGGGAAGGATCATGGACTGGTATATCAAAACACTAAGCAAGGTCTGTATGCAGCTGTTGTTCAATCCTATTAGCTCCATTTATCTCCTGCACCTTAAGCCACAAAATCACCAATTATCTGAACTCCCCTGCTGGCAAACCACACAACTCACCGACATCCCTTGCCATTCCCCACTTTTGATTGCTTTCTCCCATTTCTTGTCTTGTTCTTCTTTTTTTAAAAAAAATTTATTTTGTTAATTTTAATGAACATTTACAGAGATTTTGGATTTCCATTCATTCACTGTTGTGGTTCTCACCTCTGATCTAGCTGTGTCACTTACTGGTAGAATGTGTGGTAAAGGGCCCGACACTCACCAACTGCGCCCGTGACTGCCCCACCCCCAACCAGGCTGCGGTCCACCCTGCCTACCTCCTCAGCCATCTCAAGCAAGGCCTTGTTGCTGCTCTCCCACCGGGACCGGTACATAGTGGTTTCTTTCTCCAGCTTCTTGATCTTCTTAGTCATCTAGGTTATATGACATATGGAAAGGAATGGTTAGGGGACTGGGCTGCCCATGGATCTGCATTTCCACGGTGAGGGGCAGTTCCAAGGGAACAAAGAAAGCATCAGAGGATACAGTCAATGTCTCTATGCCACCACAGAAAATCTCCCCAAGTTAAATACCCACCACCAATAATAAGGAATAACAACACAGTCCCCTCTCCCCTCTAAGGGCCTCCCTTGGTGTCAATCAGGCTCTTATTGGCAGTAGTGCCCAGAGGCCCTGTAAGGGACAGGACTGCTTGAGGACAAGCTGAGGGTATAATTCAGGGTCAAACAGTTGCTTCTTTACAGCCCACCTGCCCTGGACCACATTACCTTTTCCATCTCCTGTTTGAATGTGGTGAACACTTCACTGCTTTTGGAAAGAGTGTTCTGGAACTCTTCAAACTTTTCCGTGTAAAGGGCGAGCTAGTGAGACAGAAGCCCATTGGTGAGACTGAGCTGCTCTGGAGGTACTTTTGCTCAGAACACTCACACCATAACAAGGCTACTGAGATACCATCTTGGAAAAACAAAAACTATGTATCTGGCAGAATAGAATCTAAGACGCTAAATGAAATAAATTTGGGCAGCATCTATTTTTCATCTTTATTTCCAAATTTTCCTCCAGGAACCAGGTGCAAGAAGGTCCAGAGAGCAAAAGCTCAGCTAGGGTCACACAGCAGTTGAGGCAGACCTGGACCTAGAATGAGGGCCCCATCTCCCTCCCCTCAAGAAGTGGAACAGGAAAGGGACTTTGGAGGCAGGTCAGTTTTCAAGTTCTTACCTGCTGCTTCAGGTGGGTCTCCTGCTGCTTCATCAGCTCACACATCCTTTGTGACTCCACTGCCTCTTTGAGGAGCTATTTCCAAGACAGGTGCCCACACCCAGTCAGAGGCCCCCCCGGGATTAAGCCTCTCTTAGCAACAAGCACAAGAACCCACTGAAGCTTCCTGCTCTCACACTGGTTTCTGAGGAAGCAGTACCCACAGTCTGGCTGGGTAGCATTCTCCTGCCTATGGACTCAAATATAAGCAGAGCCAGAACCCAACCCTACCTCAGCTCACCCTCCCCATGGCCCAGGCCCCAAGTCTCACAAAGTCCTTCTCCCGCTGGTGTCGCTCCTCAGCTTCTTTTAGCATCTCCTGAGCCTGCTGAAGCTTGGCATCCACAAGCTGCTGCTGCAGATCCTTGTGTTTGAAGACTTTGTCAATGTGCTGTGGGAAATCAGGGTGTGAGAGGGCTGCCTGTTAGGGGCTCCTCATCTTAGGGAGGCCCAGTGGTTACAAGGATACCCCATATGCAGAGAGCAGGGTGCCCAGAACAGCTTCTCATCTCCACCTAACATGTTAGGCCTGTGTGCAGCCCAGAACCAGGGCTTTTTTGATTCCCTGGAAGATATGTGCCCCAGCCTCACCTTTGCTCTCTCTCCTTCTGAGTCAGTCCTTAGTGAGCACAGGGTTTATAGATGGTACCAGCTCTAGGGCAATCAAGCACTCAAGTCTCCAAAGATCACCCTGACAGCCCTCACTTCTGAAACTGGCTCCTTTGTAAATGCAAAGAAAGGGTATAAACTATACCATCATGACGCTGGCAGAGCCCCTATCTGAAGGCATGTGCACCCCAAGGACTCTTAAATGCAAGAAGAAGTGTGGGAACTGTGGCCAGGTGAAAGCAGGGAAAGGGAGAAGGTTCTCTTCATGCTCTTTCAAAGGTGAAGTAAATGGCCTTCATGAAATGAGAGATGTAGAGAATTTATTCATTTTTAGGGTAGTGAGGGTTGGAGAAGAGATAGTAGTTTGAGGAAAGGCTCAGTGTGGGATGTGATGAATTTCAGTTGCCTGTGCTCTGAGGTTCAAGGTTTGGGGTGGGGGGGAGTGACGGTACAGGAGGGTATGAGGGTGACTTGTGAGGGGGTTTAAATGAGAATCGGTAGAGTTCTTCTAACTTTGTAGGCCACGCCTATGGGAAGTGTTTGGTTTTTTTAAGTAGGTGCCATACCCTGTGGTCCAGGAAACCTTCATGCCTTTCAGCGCTGAAGACAAGAACCAAGCCAACTCTCCTCAAGTATATCACAAGCAGCCTTGTTAGCAACAAATGGAGGGGGTTGGGGAGTCACCCTCACATAACCAAACTGGATTATGAGTCTTAACAGCACAGGGTGCTGTCTCCCTCATCCATCACCTCAGCCCTGGAACTGAGGAAGAGTTTTGGCTCAGTGCAGGGCTGTGGCACCCATTTGCTGAGGAGGGCCTCACTCCTCTGCTCTACAGGGGAAGCAGCAGTAATTCTACCTCTCCAATGAGCAAAAGGCTTGGAGTAGCCAAGCAAATGGCACATGGATGCCCAAGGCTGCAGAGGGTTAAATGCTAGGGTACCAGCTGACACAAGATAAGGGCAAAGTTAAGTGGCAGGAGAGCAGAGAAGCAAAAAAACCAAGAGTGGAGCCCTAGACTCAATCATACTACAGCTCCAGTCCCTCTCCTGTGATTCCAAAGTCTTAAAAGCTGTGAAAATAGAAACTTAAACCTGCCAACCAAAATTGACCTGCATTGTTGTGAGGCTATTTATATCTATTCCATTGTGAGTAGTCAAATGGTTCACTACCCAAAATGCCCTACTAAAGGTACTCTATTGTGGATTCCCAGGCATAGTGACAGCCAAGCCGCAGCTGAGATCAGAGTCCAGACAGGACTGAGCACCCTCTGCAAACAGAGAATTCTGCCCAGTCCCCTTGGAGGAGATACTGGATGACCTCTGCAAACAGAGATTTCCGCCCAGCCTCCCACCAGAGGGGATGCTGTGTCTGAACTTTGGTCTTAGTTTAAAGATTAAGCTTACTCATTGTTATGTGGGCAACACTTAAGTATAAGGAAAATATAGTCTCTGGAGATTGAATTTTTTAAGAGGATTGGCTTAAACTAAATAAACACAGGGAGATTAAGTAGGAGGCCTTTTCACAGTGCTAAGCTGTGAGAGCATCTCTGCATCAGCCTCTCTGTTTTTCAGAATTAATTTTCTCGTGTTCCTGCTTTCTTTCTGCGTCTGGTTTACAATACTTTATATATTATCTCCATTTTAAAATCTGAGTAACTCTCAATTCCAAAGGGTAGCTAGTCATGGTTTGGCACAAGGCACTATGGCCCTGTGGTTGAGTGGCCCTGGGTGAGACTCTCCTCCCCTCAGATCTCATTTGTAAAACATTAATCTTCTGCCAGGAGAGTAGAGCCCTGTGCCCGTACAGTTCCCTTGTCGACAGCGACCTCACCTCCTCACGTAGCTCATACTGCTCAATGAGCTTCTTCAGCCTCTCTGCCAGCTCCATGTTCTCCTGGCGCAGTTTGGAGTTACGTTCATTGTGCTGCTCCATCTGCAGCTGAATATCATTCAGAGTCACCTGGAAGTGCGAGGTCACCTCCTTGCGTTTCTCTTCCTCTTCTCGAGCCCGCTGTACACCTTCTTCCTGAGCAGAGAAGTCAACCCCAGCTCTGTTATCCACACTGCCAGTCGGCCTCCCTCCAGGGATGGTCCCTACCAACAATTCTTTCCTGCTCAGGGGGTGTGAAGCCAAGTGCCAAGGATGCGGTGCACGGGGCTCCTAATAAGCCCCTTCACTTATCAGGTCCAAGTGAGAGATGCTCTCTGGGAAAACTGGAGGAACATACTAAGTGCCACTGTGACGCAATTTAAATTTCCCAGAGTCTAATCTTACATATTAATTTTAATGTTTTCACCACGTCCACCACACACCAACTAGACCAAACAGTAAAAATCATTAATAATCAGGGCTGGCGAAGCTGCACAGAATCAGGTCCTTAGATAAGGTTAGTGGAGGGCATACTGATTCTCAGTGGAGTCCAATTTAGCAAAATCTTACTAGAATTTAAAGAGAATGATATAATCCTACATATAAACTGATACGCTCTGCCGTCAAGTCTACTCAGACTTGTAGTGACCCTATAGAACAGAGTAGAACCAGGTTTCCAAGGCTGTAAAATGTACAGGAGCAGACTTTCACATCCTGTCCCCCCCCCAAGGATGAACTTATATGCAAAGACAAAGCACTTCAAAAAATGAAAACAAAAAATACATAGGGCATAAAATGACATTATAATTTCACTTTATAAAAGGAAACATAGGTGAAATTTTACATGGAAAGAGGAAACGCTAGGTTGTACTTCAGCTTACACATAAGGATGTTTAGTCTGCAGTGGTTTCTGCTGGGCAGTGGCCCAAGGAAGGCAGGCCACTACTATTTTCATTTTCTTACATTTTGCTACCTTTGAATCTCTCAACAAAACTGCATTAAGTCTGTAATGTTTTCAAATACAAACAACTCAAAATAAGTTGTAAGGCGAGCTCTGGTGGCCTAGTGGCAGGAAACTGCACTGCAATCCCAGAGGTGCACAGTTCAAATCCACCAGATGCTCTGCTGAAGTAGGAACAATCGCCTCCTGTACCAGTCAGATCCAATTCGACGGTACACACATTAAATAAATAAATAAATAAAAAAAATGGGGGGAAAAAAGTTGTAAAATGGCATGGTTTGCTGAATCAAATTTCTTAAGACCTCCCTAATCAAGATCAAAGATGACAGCCTTCAGTATGGAATATATAACATAAAACACAAATATTCACTGGATTTTAAGCAACATCCTAATAAATGGAGAAACAATTGACGTTGTTAAGGATTTCACTTTACTTGGGCCCACAATCAGTGGCCATGGAAGCAGCATTACATAAATCAAGAACTGATGCCTTTGAATTATTTTGGTGAAGAATACTGACCATAGCATGAACTGCCAAAAAACTAAGCCAAACTTTCTTTCCCCTCCGTAAGGCAGATATTTACTTCTTCAGAAGCAGCTCATATGGCACTTAGTACAGCAGACAAATATATCAGGTGTGTGTGGTCTGCTTTGGTTTTATCCTTGAAGCAAAAGCTAAGGCTGTGTCTCACTCCACTGGTCAAGGGTTTCAACCTTACAGTCTTGTTCCTCCCCCACTGGCTAATTTAATTTGCGCTTGAGAGGAGGAGGCTACGGCTTGAGGTAGTCTGGAATGTCTTCGTCCTGTTAAACACTAGTGTGCCAAGAACTGGCTTTGGCTGGTTCACAAGCAGTGTACAAGGACAATGAAGATTCGCTTGGTAATCTCTAGGAGAGAATTCTTACTTCTATTACCTTGGCTTCTACTCTCATAACTATTTGAAGATACCTATTTTTCTTCCCCCAAGAAGTCCACACTTAGTTTTTATTAACAGAAGATATATATATATTTTTCTCTTACAGTGAGGTGTGAGGAATAACTGAAGGCCTTCCCACATACTGTGCACTTACAAGGCTTCTCTCCAGTGTAAGTATATGTTCAGTATGAAGGAATGAGTAAAGGCTTTCCTCACATTCTCTACATTCTTAAGGCTTCTCTCCACTGTGAGTTCTTAAATGTTTAGTGAAGGATGAGGCCCTAAGAAGGCCTTCCCACATTCCTAACATTCAAAAGGCTTCTCTCCACTGTGAACTCTTATTATGTTTAGTGGGTATTGATGCTTATCTAAAAAGCTAATCTATCTTGGCCAGAATACGCTCTGGAGGTGAGAATGGCAAGAATTTGTCTCACACACTTTTGGCATGTTAACAGAAGGGCCAATCCCTGGAGAAAAACATCATGTCTGATTTAAGGCAGAGTCAGGGGGGAAAGAAAGTCTTCAATGACATATGCTCAACCACAGCAATAATTGGGAAGATGACACAAAACAGGATAGTGGGTTTTTTTCCTATAATATATATACAGGGTCACTATGAGTTAGAAATTACCCAAAAGCACTCAGAATAATATTCACTGTTGAGTCTAGGGGACATTATGCTTAGTGAGATAATTCAGGCACAAAAGGACAGATACTGTTTAAGACCACCTTTGTAAAAATACAATGGTTATTGAAATGTACACCTTTCTCTTCTGCCACACAGAAGCAACAGGAATAAATTAATTCGAACAGCAAAAAAAAAAAAAACCAACAAAAAACAAACAAACAATGGTTACAATGAGGGGCTGTTTGGGGAGAGAAGGAAAAAAAATAATGAATACCATATTGGATTAGGTGAAGGGAAGGTAATTCTAAAATGACACAACAAGCAGATATTCTATGTGTTATATATGTTGAAGTAACAATCTCCATTAGGACATACATATTTGATCAAACTTAGGGGGGAAAAAAGGGACCAAAGGTTTACACACATATAGAAACAACTGTGGCGGGGTGCGGTGGGGTGGGTGTGTTGATGGAATGGGAGGGGACGGAAAGGAGATCAATGAATAGATGGGTAAGGTAAAAGGAGAGAGAAGGTATTGTGAGGTGTTAACAAGATGTAAATAATAGTATTGTAAAATTGAATTGATGTTATAAAACAAATAAAAATTCTGGTGGGGAAAATAAGTGCTTTCTCTTCATTTTGTAAATAAACTAGTATAACAATAATCCAAATGTGCAGATATGCACATGAAAACCATCTGGAGGTTATGGAAACCATCTGGCTTTCATCACAGACCAAACAGGAATACAGAGGGGATCCAACACTCCAAACTCACCACATTCTGGGAGATGAGACACTTGTTAGTCCTCCCAATGTGGTCAATGGGATTCTTACTTTACTTTTCTCTCTCCAATTACTGACAAACCTTCCAATCTCTTCCACACTGTGCCCTTTGGCATTGCTATCCAATCTAGAAATACTGAAGCCACTGCATCGTAAGTTCCCATCTTAGCCTTTACTTTATTTAAAAATAAAAGTTTGACAACAATGTGGAACAAGAGATCCATGACAAAGTGACCCGGGGAGGGGAAAGGAAAAGACAGAAATGAATGAATGAAAACCCAACCTTTCTGTAAATTTTCGTTAAAATCACAGTTAAAAAGTAAACTACAAGAAGCTGCACTGCAATCCCAGAGGTACGTGGTTTGAACCCACAAGATGCTCTGCTGGAGAAGGAGGGACAATCTCCTCCTGTACCAGTCAGATCTGATTTGATGGTACACACACAAAAAAATAATAAAATAAAATAATAATAATAATAATAAAAAAAAAACACTTAAAAGAAAAGAAAACAGCTCTGTTGCTATCAAGTGAACTTGTCTGACACAGACTCATAACAAGCCCTGTTTGACACAATTCATGTAAAGTGTTTCAAAATAAAGCCGTGATCCACAGGGTTCAATAGTTATGGTCTATGAGAAGTAGATACCAGGCCTTTCTTCCAAGGTACTGTGAGGTTGGTTTAAATCTCCAACATATTTGCTAGTAGCTGAGTTCTTAACCACAAAGGACCTAATAATATAAGCACTTACTAAATGATTTTAAGTAGTTCTTTCTAGCATAAGGTATTACTCTTGTTTTTAGGTGTGGCAGTCTTATTTCCGAATCACTGGTCTGCGCTACTTTTCCCAGGAAGAACCTCACCAAAGTTAAAGGGAAGCAATAGGAAAACAGTGATGTCCTTTCTAGGGCACAGTGAGCTTGGATGGCATAGTGTGATCTTGAAATCTTTCAGTGCCTGAAAGTGGGCAGTTTCCTCTAGCTGCAATATAGATCTTTGGTCTTGGAAATAAATGAGCTGGAATCAACTCGACTGCAGTGAGTCTGAAGGCATGGGCAGCCTACCTTGAGGGAGCGGTTGTGTCGCTGTAGCTCTCTGCACAGGCTCTCGAGCTTGCTGCGGGCCAGGATGGCCTTGCTGTGCTCGCCCCGCAGGTGGTCCTTCTCCTGCACCAGCTGACTCTGCTTCTTCTGCAGGAGCTTCATCTGCTTCTGGGAGTTCCTGTGCTCTTCCAGCTGGGGAATGGGAGGATAGTGAAGGTGGGGCTCTCCCTGATGGGAATCACCACACTGCCCGGACCCTACCCCTCTCTCACAGCTCTATTTACTCCTCACATAACCAACTCAGAGGGGATAAGCAGGAGCACCCCAGCTACCAGGTCCCAGGTTCTATTCCAGCTCAGATACCAAAGACAAAGCTCTTAAGAACCAACTGATAAAAAAACAAAAGAACAAAAAAAACAAAAAACACACCACAACCAATCGCAAAAACAAAACCGGAAAAACCCCACCTAACAAACCAAATGAGACAAGGCTCTCAAGACACTTCACAACACTGCATTCCCCTAGTTATGGGACACTCACTCCTTTCCCTGACTCCCAGCGGGACCCTTGTATTTTCTCTTCATTCCATTAAAACTTTAGTGCTAGCTCTTCATTTCTTTCTCCCAACATGGCTGCAACTATCATTAGTTGTAATTTCACTACCAGTAAACATACCTCTGACTCCCTCATCTCATAACCTTTTCCCTCCTCATAAACACAGTCCTCTGTCTCAGCTCAGACCCCTTACTACAGTGCCTTCAGCCCAGACCAACAGAAATACAATGTAGAAAAAAAAAATACACAACGCGAGTCACATATGCAATTGTACATTTTCTAACAGCTGTGTTAAAAGTTAAAAGTGAAATGATTTTAAACAATAACCAAAATATAAAAAATTACAACTCAGAATCTGTGTAAAAAAACTCATTCAGTGGGCACTTTATAGGCTCTATTTTTGTAAATCCAGTGAGAATTTTACATCTGAGTACATAAAAATCTGGTGCAGTTATTTAAAATGGCTTTTAGTTACCACTCTGGACAGTACAAGTCTATACTGTTATTACTGGAATCTTTAATAATTAAATGCCACCTTCCTTAACTCAAGGCAAAGACCACAATCTTCTATTATTCTAGCTCATTTCTTCTAATGTCACTCTCAACAAGTCTCTGAGCCTACAGGACCTCTAATTCACTGACGCTACTGTCCTTTATCCTTTCACTTTCCTCTAACCACTTACCTTGCTGACTTAAGATTCCACATGTCCTCAATGAGCTTGTCCCTTTCTCCTAGCACAATCCTGACCCTGGCACATTGACCTTCTTCCCTGAACCTGCACCCGAAGCAACCTTGCTTGAAGGTTTTGCTCTCGACTCATGACCAATTTTAGAATTTCTTTTTTTTTTTTAAAATTATTTTTTAATTTTTTTTTTTTGGTGTGTGTGTGTGTACCATCAAATCGGATCTGAGTGGTATAGGAGATTGTCCCTCCTCCAGCAGAGCATCTGGTGGATTTGAACTGTACACCTCTTGGATTGCAGTGCAGCTTCTTGCCACTAGGCCACCAGAGCGCCCTTAATTTCAAGACCCTTGTCCAGCAATCCTACAACTTTCCTGTGCTATTCATGCTCCTCTTTTGGACAGCAATTTTATTCAAGCTCTAAACACCCCCTCCTCCCCAGCTCTATCTTCCCATGTCCCTAAGAAGGGAGACAGGAGGAATGAACGTAACTAGTCTACTGCACTGTGTTCTCCACACGTCATGTGGACCTGGTAATAACGTTCACCATGGCCCACTCCTGTCTGCATGGTGAGCCTTACCTTCGAGAGCATTACCCCAGCAACCCACTCCTTCCTCTCTTGCATTAATTTTTCCTAGCTGGACCATTTTGAATGAGTGTTATCTCCTTAATAACTGTTTATTTAATCTCAGCAAGAGCCCATTTGGAAAGTATGATACCCCCATTCTGTAGATGATAAAAGTTTCTGGAGAAAAAAAAAAGAAAGTTTCTGAAAGGAGAACTGTGAAATTAATAAATGTGGATGGAATGAAAAAACTTTAAAAAGAAATGGGCAATAACCATCACTGGGTGAATCTGCTAACTAAAAATTCTGCTGAAGAACATAATGTGAGAAGAATCTAGGTGCCAATATCTGAACCCACTTACATGACTAAAAGTGAGAAACATTTCATGTTGTCTCCTGTTATCTAATGCCAAGTTACAGTATCAAAACAAAATTTCAAAAACCTCAAATCCATTGTCCTCAAGTTGATTCCAGCTCCTAGCACTCCTACAAGACTGAGCAGAACTGCCCTGTAGTTTCCAAGACTGTGATCCCTCTGGATCACAGAATGGCTTGTGAGTGCAAACCACTGCACCACCACCCCACCAAGGAATAGACCACTATCAATGAAGAATTCCTATCAAAGAGCTTAAACTTAATTTGGATCGAGTTTCTAGAACTAACCCTTGTATCACTTAAAAGAAATAATGAGGTAAAGAAGTTAAATGTCCCTAAGACAACAAGCTAGAATGTAGGGTATCCTCCAGGACAACTGTTCTGGTTTCTGCAAGAAAATGACGCCAAGAAAAAGAGGGGAAGGGGAGAGGCTGGAGAGGGAAGGTTGTCTTGGAGTTTGTAAACAAGCAAGTACAATAAACCATGTGGACCCTGATAACACCTAGGGAAATCTGGCTCTGGCCATCATATTAAAAATAACAAATGGTTAGTGTTAACTTTGTTAAATGTGATAACGGCATTGTTTTGTGGCTGAATACCAAGGCACACACAGGTGTGATGACACAGTACTTGGGACTCAGGGTAGGAGACAGGATTCTACCATCAGAAACTCATTAAGAAATTTATTTCAAAGAACATGAAGTTCTTTCTCTTACTGTCATCACCTTGAAAGAACCAGGTAGGACTTGACTATCCATTTAAGCTGGAGAAAAGGCTCAGAGATGGGGTAGACAGGAATTGAACTACCCATCTGCTCCTTTGCTCAAGCCTCACTCCAAGCAGTCTGAAGACTTCTGAAAGACAGGGAGGGTACAAGGGGCAGGTTGGGGACTGACCAGTTCAGCATACTTCTTGCACAGTGCTGCCAGCTTCTCCTCTGGCGTACTCAGGGTATTCAATGTCTGCATCAGCAGTGTAATCTCCTTTCCTGCAAAGTATAAGGAACAAAGGCATGTCCCAAGGCCTCTCCAGGCCTGGATACACACTCCTGAGCCTTAAGACAGCACCCTACTTTGTATTCCTACTCAAAAACTTGGATGTGTTTTCTGCAAATTTTACGAGGACCCCAGGACTGCCATTAGTGCCAAATACAAAGAAGCTGCTCAATGGCCAGCTGAATGATGGCCTCCTGTGGAATTTCAGTAGTTATCACCAGTGGGGGGGGGGGGGAAAAGCTTGCTCTAGAAGAAATGTAAAAGAAAGGTATCCCGCCTGTGAACTGAGTGCTACAGTTTTAATGAAAGAGGAAGAATCCAAGTTGGGCTAACTCTCCAGGACTCCTTGAAAGCACTAAACCCAACAGTGGTAACCGAGCAGTGAGCTTTAAAATGAATATTTATTTCACATATTGGATAAGTTTTAGCTTTTCTTAATCCTTCTTGAGTTAGGGTGACAGCTAGGAATACTTTGGTACTCAGACACAAGAACACATCATTCAACCTTGATTCTTTCTTATCATTCACTGCCCTCCCCTACAACCAGGCCTGAGTGAAGGTCTATGGCTCCCTCCCCAGGGTCACCTGACACAGCACCAGGCTCCTGAGTTTTGGTCCCTTAAGACCCCAAGCGATGAATGCAGGGGCTGCAAATCACCAGAATATAGCATAAATCAGCCCACACATGGATTTCTGTTTTTTGGTTCCTTGGTTTAAGTGTCAACATTTAAGAATAAACAAAAGTCTAGATAATTCAGAAACTAGGATTGATACTTCCTCTGAAAAAATAAAAATCTAGATGCACTGAGTTTTGTATACTATCAACTGGCTAGGTCCAGATTGTAGTCAATCCTTCGGATGAAACAGACATTTTCTTGGTCTACTTGGACCTCCTGGCTAGCTTGAGTTAAAGACCTTTGAGTTTTTTATGCTGGTCTAGTCTAAGTCTCTTATTATAGGGAAGTGAAACTAAGGCTCAGAATGGGGAAGTGATGTGCCCCTGGGTACCCTGTGGTGCTGATTAGCACAGGAACCCACCAGGCCTCTTGCTCTCCATATTCTCAAAGAGCAAGCAGGCTGGACTTCAGCCTTCACTTGCTTCTGAGAACACATGCCATTGCATAGTTAATAGCCTTTCTATGATGTGACCCCATATCTCAAGACAAGTAGTGGCTCTTTGCTCACCCAGTCCCTTGGCTTTCTTCTTCTCCTGGGGCCTCCGGTGGTCTCGGTCTCCACCTTCATCACGCACCCGGATCTCTTCTGTGCCTGGCTCCACCTTGGAGGGCTCCTTCTCGCCATTGATTACAGGGGTCACTGGCTCAGGCTCCCCGTTCCTTGCAGCGTAGTTTCGGGACTTTTCTGTATCTTCAGGTTCAGCAGGTTCACTCTGTGCCACATCCTCACCTGGGCTCCCCTGATTGTTGTCTACACAGTAAGTACTCAAGATGTCTTCCAACTGGCGGCTCAGCTCCTCTGACACATCTTGGAGGGCCCCTGGTGGGGCAATTTTGGCTTGAGCCCCTGAAGGAAAGAATGAGAGGCAGAGTTAGAAATAAGATGGTTAAACTGGGAATCTTCGGGTCCTATAAAATTCACTGGTTTGGGTTAAACATCATCTAACCATTACAAGATCTGGCTTATTTCCCTATAAAATGGTGTTAAGTACCCCTCACTACTGCCCAAGGTTTTAAACGTAGGAGGTCAAGTATGGCAACCTTGAAGTACAGGTTAGATATACAACAGAAATTCACTTTCTAGTGTTATCTTCTCTCCCCCTAATCTGTCATCAATAAAAAAACGTTTCATAAATGCCTCACCAGAGTAGTTACCAACTGGTGAGTGACTGGAGTTTCCTAATGGGACCACGATTTGCCTCTCATTTGACTGCCACCTGATTTAATCCTATCCCAGCTTGCCCTCCAGAGAGTTCTGTTCCTGAGTTTGGAGTGGGAGGTTCTAGCAACTCCTTGGGAAAGGGTGGGGATTGCACAGACACAGCACTGTCCTCCACTGCTTGTACATTTTTCCTTCCTGGGTAAACAGTAGTCTCAGCCTCCAACCCCAGAAGCTGAGCAGACATCCCACAAGCTCCTCCTCCCAACCCGGGGAATAGCAGAGCTGGCACACACCCAAAGGCTTCCCCAGGACCTGGCTGTTGGAACCTTCAGCTTCGGTTGCAGGAGCCGTCTGGCTGGGCCTTCCCTGGGCTCTCTCTGGTCCCGCTTCCGGTTGCCCTGGGTTGCTTTTGGAGTTGGAAGTGTTGCCTGATTGCTTGGCGGCCCCATTCTTTTTGTCCTGGTTCTTCATTATGGTTTGCAATGCTAGGTTAGGTGCAAATCCTTCAGAAACAAACACAGTTGCTATTTTCCAGACTTCGAAATTCTCAGCCTGGATCAGAAATCCCACCCCCGGGCGTGCAACACAGCTTCTTAAAACAAACAAAAAACAAATGGTCTGGCCTTTACCGGGAAGAATGGAGACAAGGAAACTGCTCTCCCGGTCTCAGGCCTGTCAGAGGAGCCTGGGGCGCCAAGGTAGGGTTTCGGGCTGCTGCTCCTGGGGACGGCGAGGAAAGAGGCCTCCTTTTATCCCAAACCACTTCCCGGCACCACAGAAACCCCTCACGACAGGCCGAGCGCGGGATTGGCTCAGGGCCGGAGACTGACGTGGCGGGACGCTCCAGTCCAGATCCCACCCCCCACCCCCCGCGCTCCCAGGGCTCACGTGGGCTCCCGCGCGCGCGCAGCCAAACCCCCGTCCCTCACGTCCCTTAGGCGCGCATGCGCACAGGGATTAACATGCCTAGCCACCTGAGCTCTGGAGCTGGATCGGGTTGATTTACCACATTGGCCGAAAGAATCCAGGCCTACAAGCCCTCTAATTATCTAATTTCGCTGGCCCGCCACAGTACCGCACCTCAATGCCGAAAGACCAAAGACTTCACCCGCTCTAGCCTCACACCGGAAACCCTAGGCAACCGCTGCCGGCAGAAACGCCCCTCTCCAGCTGCAGCCAATCAATAGTCCGTGCTCTCCCGGAGCTTGCTGGGAAAATTGAAGGAAGGCGGCTTTTGAGGCGGGTAAATCGGGATTGCGGGGGAGGGGAAGGACTACGGGTCCTTACACAAATCGCGGCCTGAGCGTGACTCCCGAGATGCAATAGAAAAAGCTTTCATTCTAGGAACCGGTACCCTGGGAGTCCGAAAGAGGCTAGATCATTCTGCACAAATAACCAGGTCAACCTCTTTTATGTTACTTAGAAGTTATGATTTAGCCCCTAACCCTAGTTCTTTATGCAGGCTGGCTGCCAATCCCTACTCGCCTGTGAACTTTCTGTGCCCATCTCTAGGGAACTCTCAAGGGTGAGAATACCAGGCTAGGAGTCAGGACCTTAACGTCTTTACTGATTTGTTGTGGGCATTCTTTTCCTAAGTCTCAATTTCCTCAATCATGTAAAGGTTTTTTTATAATAGCAATGGTTTATTGCGTGTCTGCTAAATGCTTAATCTTCCTAACTATTGATAGAGGCAAATAGTCCCCTTTTACGGGTGAGGGTAGTGAGGCAAAGGTATGATGTCCAGGGTGACACCTAAATAGTGTGTGGAATAAGGATTTAAAACCATCAAGCCTGGCACTAGGCCATCCTAACTACCACGCTTTCCCTTAGGATGAGTCAAGGTAACTTGTGAAAGTGTTTTTAATTTTGTCCTCCTCCAATTAGTTTGCCGTGTAGTCCCGCTTTTGAAAGGACTGTGTGGAATGCCCTCCCCTCCCCACTTCATCATAGACTGGATGGCAAGAAAATCCCTATAGCACTGAGGCTAATAAAGAGAAAGAATAAGTGAAACTTACCCTCATATGTTAAAGTTACAATTTTTTATCCGTTACCGAGAGATAACTGAATACCAAAGTCAAACCCACAGCCACTGAGTCTTTTCCTACTGATGATGACCCTCTTGGTTTCAGAAGCCATAGAGGACACTGCCCATCTTCTGCAGAGTGCCTGGTGGATTTTAACTGCTAACATGTTATAGATTGGCAGCCCACCAATGGCCAGTAGTCCTTAATGCCTAGTATTGAAGGCTTAAACTGGTTTCTATATGTTTACAGCCAGTCTCCTTGCTCATCCTGCCATTGTTTTGTTTCAACTATCACATGCAAGCAAAATATTGAAGAGCATTCAAACCCAGCTAGGACAGTACATTGACAGAAAAATGCCAGGAGTTCAAGCAGGGTTTTAAAAAAGGCCATGGCACCAAGGATCATTGCTACTGTCAGATGGATCCTGGCTGAAAGTAGAGAAAACTAGAAAAAACAATGTGTTTCATTGAATATGCAAAGGCATTTAATTTTGTGGATCATAACAAATGATGGCTAACATGAGAATGGGAATCCTAGAACTCTTAATTATGCTGATACAAAACCTATACATAGATCAAGAAGCTGTTGTCCAAATAGACAGGAAAACAGTATGGTTTCAAATCAGGAAAAATGTGTCAGGGTTGTAGCCTTTCTATCTATTCAGTTGGTATGCCTAGCTAATCATTCGAGAAGCTGAACTCTGTGAATAATGTGGCTTCAGGATTTGAGGAGGTCTCTTCAATCTGTATTACACAGATGACAACCTTGCTGCAGTCAGTGATTACAGCCTTCAGTTTGGATTGCATCTCAACATAAGAATACAAAAATCCTCACCACTGGGCAAATAGGCAACATCATGATAGAGCGAGAAGACTGAAATTGCCAAAAATTTCATCTTATTTGGATCCACAATCAACTTTCTCGGTACCAGCAGTCAGGATACATATTGCACTGGACAAGTCTGCTGCCAGGGACCTCTCCAAAATACTGAGGAGCAGTGATGTTTGAAGACTAAGATATGCCTGATTCTAGCCATCTTCTTTTCAGTCATTTACAGTGCATCTGAGAGCTGGACAATATAGATGACAATAAGAATTGATGCCTTTGAATTATGGTGCTGAAGAAGAGTACCAAATATCCCAGACACTGCCAAAAGAACAAAAAGATGGAAAAAGTGCAGAGTGCTCCTTGGCAGCAAAGATGGTGAAACTTCATCACTCTTTGGACACATTACTAAGAGAGTCTATTCCTTGGAAAGGTGAAGATCAGTGAAGAAGAGAAAAACTCAACAAGATGGATAGACACTGTGATGGCAGCTGTGGGCTCAGGTATGTCAGATGAGGATGGCACAGAACAAGACAGGGTTCATAGGAGTGCTGCTGTGAGTTGTACTTAATGACATCTGACAACAATACTTTTATTTCTAGATTCTTTTCAGATGGTATTTCCTTTTTAGGAAGATTGTTCTAAAAAAATTTTTTTTAAAAGGATGCTCTAGCAATTAGGAAGCTCTTGTGGCTTAGTGGTAAGGAACTGCACTATCAATGTAAATACATGCAGTTCTAATCCATCAGCTATTCCACAGAAGCAAGATTGGCAGTCTCTTCCTGTGTAATTTACTGCCTCTGAAAACCCACTGGAGGGCCAGTTCTAACTTGACATTATACAACTAGCAAAAATTTAATCTCTTGAGGCCCTATTCAGAGACTACTTTAGGACCTTCTCAATGCTTAGCAATTTGTCCTACCTAGTTCTCTAAGTCTGCTACTGTTATCCGCAAGATGCTGGAAACTACTATTTACTAACAAGTCCAAGAACAATAGTTGGCTAAATTCTGTTGTCCTGGAGCCTAGCACAGAAGGCAGTAAAGGCATGGAATACTTTAAGTGTTCTTAAGTTGAATATTTTTTAGGGGCTCTTCAAAATGTTATCTTCACTCAAAGATTCAGTAGAATAGGATAGGGTAAAGTCCTGTTTAATATTTCCCAATACCAAGATCTGCCTTAACAAGGTAACACTGAGCCAAGAAGTATAACGTGAAGAAGGAATCAAGGAGCCAGAATTTTTATTGTCTTTTCAAAAAGGGCTATTTTTTGGAAAAGCATGCTAGAAGTCTCAAGGAGGCCTTGTAGAGCATGTTCCAGGCAGGAATGAGTAACATAAGAACATGTGGACATGGAGTGAGAGGTGGTAGAGGTTATAGCAGGAAGGGGTGCTGGGGCAGAAAGGAAGCATTGTAAAGTGGCACACTGAAATTCAAGGGAGTGTATATATTCACTATTGAGATCCTTTTATGAGTACATACATAAAAAAGATTAGGAAATTAAACACTTTAAATAGGTATTTATTGTATGTCAATATTTTCATTTAAAAAAAAACAACAAAAAATTCAAACCAACCTTTTCTAGCAGGAGCAGGCTGAAGCAATTCTTATTTCTACTATTAACTAACAAGTTTAAACTCTCTCTCCTCATACACTTCCAAAAATTCCAGCCTAGGTTTACTCCAAACCAAAAGAGACAATTTAGAACTTTGCAACAGGTTTTTATTTTTGCTTTATATCTATTATTACAGTGTCGAAACCTAAAGAAATACATTTCTCTTCAAATTTGGATGTGTATATAAATACCATTTGTCTGGACTCAGTATACTCAATGCCACGGTTTTCTTGGCTTATGTCTATTCTGAAATCATTAAGATGTGACTGCCTACCCAGGGGCCCTGAGAATATGGAAAATAGCCAGAGCTTATAGTTTTTAGAAAATAAAAACAAATTCTGAAACAAATACCAGTGAGGAGGGAAAGGGCTGGATTAGTCTTCCTAGAGTCTGTACCTAGGAACCCAGTCTGTTTTGGGGGGTTATCTGCTAGTTGGATGGTTGAGTTCTAGACCTCTTCTTTCTCTAAGTGATCCAATCAAAGGAAGTTTCCACAAAAACTGGATAAAGATGTCAATACTAAACACCAGGGCCTGAGAGTGCTAAGGATATCCCTCCCTGGCCTGGGGTCTTTGCGGTATGCCTACCTTTACTGCCCAAGGACATGACAGGCAGTTTTCTCTTTCTGTCCTCTAGAACAGTTTTTAGTCTAGAGGTTAAAAATCTTAACTGTTTAGGGGAGCTAGGCTAGCTTTCAACAGAGAGATTCAGGAAAGTGCTATTTTCCTTAAAAGACAGGTCGGCCCAATAGGTCCAAGCCCACTGAAGATCTTTATAGCACACTATACAAACCTCTCTCCTAGGGTAGCTGGGCCCCCAGTTTAATGCTATTTTTTTCCTAATCCTCACACCCAGTTTTGATTCTGCACATAGTTCAGGTCTAATGCAAAATGCAGCAGGAAAAAGAACAGCTTTAATACAAAGAATTGGTTAGTCTTAACCTCAGTTTCCTCTCTTGCCATGGTTTGGAGGCTATGGTTAGGGGCTAGACAATGGGATACTGAATCACGAAGGCCTTGGCTAAAGAGAAATTAGTGTCTACAACATGGATTCCTGGTAGGGCCAAATTTTCCAACTTTTTGGCTTGACAAAATAATCCAAAATGTAAGACACAGGAGAAAAAAATGAAATACTGGATAAGGTTGGTCTAGAACATGCAATCCTAAGATAGATGTGGAAGAAATCTAGTCTGAGCAGTTTTTTGGTGCGATACCTGTGCACACCTGAGGGAGGTCTGGCGTGGAATATGTTGCCACTGATTATGAGCATTTCCTATGGTTCACTGCCCTGAGACTCCTACTTCTCTTCCAGGCTCCCAAGGACACAGGGAGGCTGTCAAATTTCCCAGCCAGTCTGTTCTCCCTAAGCTCCTGTGCCTGCAGGGACCTGGAAAATAAGACTCTTACCTACAATGGAGAATTCAGAATCTAAGCCCTTAGGATGACTATTCTAAGGAATACACAAAAATGATACCAAGCAGAGTGAGTCTAGGGGAGGGGAGGCCTGAGCAAATAAGCTGGGGCCCTCAAAGAGGAGCCTGGGATAAAGAAGGAAGTATCACAAGGCTTTCATCTCTTCTGTTTAGCCTAGGACAAGAATAACTCCAGGGTATAGTGGAAAGGCAAGGAGACAGGAGAATACAGAAATCCAGTTCAATCTACTAGCTGGTTTTAATTTTAAACCACTTTGGTTTAACTGAAATAGAGCCCTCTTCACCACTTCCATGACTAAGTACAGTTAAACTGTAGAACAGTTTTGTAATGAAAGCAGCAGGTCAAGTAGAAAATGGCCCGTCCTTCCTTGCCTACTTGTGAAAATTGTGGATTGATAGTCATCATTCCCAAGCTGAGAAGTAGAATCTGACTCACTAGAGTGGCTGATATAATCTTCCTGTGATAACTGCCAGTCCGAAATGACCTTGCTCAAAAAATGGCTCCAGTTGTATTGGTTATAACACTACAAAGTAAGGGCAAATCCAAGATCAATGGCTCACAGTGAGCACCTGAACATTAGACTTGTAAGCAAAGGGGCAAGGATTTCACCTGAGCCAGAATGGGATGTATAGGAATGGGAGCAAGAATGGCACTGTTTTTGGGAAAGGAATAGTCAGCTTGGAACAGAGTATCTCCCTGATTGACCATAGTAGGATGGGCAGAGGGGGCAGACTGTGCCTTTAGCAGCTCCACACTTGGTCTTTACTTAGCTGACAATTTTCTTTACCCTGATCCCAGACAACTGGGCTTTATTATCATATGTAATCCACCCAGAGGTATAAGGAAGTCTCTGAGGCACTGCACTAATTTAAAAAAGAAAGAAAAGGCATTTGAATTATAATTATCATAAGGAAGGGCATGACCCAAACCAGGTACCAGAACCCCAAACAGGAAGATACCAATAGCTTTCACAAAAGTACTCAGGCTGCTTTAAGTCTCTGTGAAAACAGAAGAGGCAACGATGTGTGTTAACTCATGTGGACAGGGATCTTTGAGATGGAATCAGAGATGGCAGACTGCTTTCTGTGTTTCCTGACTTAAGCAGGATGCTTAGCAGTGAGGACTTAACAGGCCCTAGGGCATCCTTGCTCTCATCAGATACTAGAACAATCAGTTCATGTTGTCTTGCTATATAAATGTTTCAGAGCTCAGGGTTGGTCCCAGGTGATAGCCCAGAATCCAAGTAGAGAGGGAAAATACCAACCTCAGGCTTCTATATCTCTTTTTAGTCTTCCTCACAGTATCTTCCTACTTATAACAGATCATTATTTCCTCAAGAGACCAATTAGAATGACCTACCTAATATATAGAATATAAAAAAATACAGAACTTTTTGACATTCTCTCTTTTGGAAGTAAAATATACATGATCCAACTATGCAACAGGAAGAAGAAGGGAAAAAGGTAGAGATGGATCCCTGGCTATCCAATACATGACACTCTTAAGTCTGACCTCTTCTGAAATTTCTGGGTCATAAGAGTAAGGACCATCTTCTCCTCAGGAGAAAGGAGGGACTAAAGCCTCCCATCTCATCCTTAGGAGAAAATATAGTCACCTCGGAGGCTCATTCAACTCCGGAGGGAATTTTCAAGTAAACAAATGAAGTTGGGTCGCACCACTGAGAAGGTGGGTAGGAAACACGGGATCAGTAGCGACACATGGGAAGCCCCATCTGAAGGCCTGTGCTCCTCCCCTCTACTCCCACTGGTGTATCTGCCCCAAGAGAGTGAGGGGATTCTCCCAAACTGGGCACAGAGTCAGAAGGAAGAAAGAACCTTTGCTTCATGGTGGTCTCACCCTCACTCTCTAGTCCCAGACAGTGCTGACAGCAGGGATTCCTAAAACCAGGAACTCATGGCTCTTGGGAAGAGCAACCTTAATACAAGAAAAATGTGCAAAAGAAAAAATTAAATAACACAATCCAAGCATATAAGATTAATATTCTGTCAGAGCAAGAACACTTTTGTTTTGGATTTCTTCCCTCCCCTCCCACCCCCTACCTCTGGTGAATATTCCATCTGCTCAAGTACCCAAGATAAGAGTTAAACACATCAGGGCAGAGGACTGGGAAGGATGAAGAAAAATAAAAGGGAAGGAAGTCACCACAAAAGGGGGGAAAAAGGTGTGGGTTTTTTTTTAAAAAAAAAGGTGCAAAAATTAATTACCTCCGTCCTCCTTTGTCTACCCCTGGGCTCCTGGGTTAAAGACATGTGTGCAGCCAAAATATAGTGTAAAGAGGAAAAACCCAACATGTCCCTTCTTGTCACAAAACCCAAATGTGAGCCTCAGATGGTTCTGTCCAGAGGGTGGTCCCTCCAGGGAAGGGGGTGGAGCAGGTCAAGAGCACAGTCTCCAGGGCAGCAGAGGTGTGTGGTAGCTGATGGTGGTGCGATGGTTTCCCCCGCACACCAGAGGGCTGCTTTTCTGCTGGCCGGTGGTGCTTCCCATCCCCTCCCCTCCCCGGAGGCAGACATTATAGCTGGAAGCCCTCCATGGGAGACTCAGGCTGCTGAAAGATGAACTGCTGTTGTGTTTCATCCACTTGAGGAGCCAGACTGCTGTCATCATCTTCTACACCAAAGTAGTGCTCAATGAGGTCAAAGGCCTTCTGGTAGATTTCCTGGTTCTCATGACTCTGGAGAAACTCAATTTTATCTAAGCCTTTGGTGGCAAGAAGGAGAAAGAACAATGATGTTTTACTGCTTTTCTATGGGTAGAAGTTGAGCCTATGTAACATTTATCTATTTTCTCTGCCCTAAGATGTTAGTGTTTGCAAAACTAAGTAATATGATAAAATCATTCTCTGATCTCAGAGGAAAGTAATTTTAATTTCCTAAACTACACAATCCGAAAGGAAAGGAAACAAGAATTATCAGAGGTTCTAATCTGGATTCTAACTTAATTCTATGATCTGGAGTATTTAACCTTTCTGGGTCTTTGCACAGAAAAGCAAATCTAGTCAATCTAGTATTCTTATTAGAACTTATTAGAAACTCAGTTGAAAACACATGCTTTTCAGCTCCTGATAGAGGAAACTAGTATACTGAATCCTGGATTGGAACAAGCCCAAAATTAAAATTCTGGTTTATCGCCGTTCATTCAGTATATGCTTATCAGTTCCAGCAGCATTTGAAACCCTGTAGCATGCCATGTGTTGGAACAGATTTGAAGGCAACTGGTTTGTTCCTGCCCCCCACCCCCATCCCATTTGGTTTTTGTTTTTTTTTTTTTTGGTGTTGCTATTGTTGTTGGTACAACTTAGCCAGAGAAGGAGTTCTTAGTCATTTTTGGAGAAAAAGACCCAAATATAATGGAAACCAGGGAGAATCCATCCAAGAAATATACATCTTCACATTTTGTATACCATTCTGGGGGCCTACAGTTGTTGGGTTCTGATCTTGATCCTCTCTACTAACACAAAGATCAGAGTGGAAGGAGAGAACATACCATAAGCTTCCTCAATGAGGCCACAGTAGGGGTTGACCCCTGAGCCACTGCGCTTGCCCTCTTGCTCGCCAAGCCGAAGTATGTTCTCCAGTCCATTAAGCGCTACTTGTACAATTTTTGAATCCATCACAGTCAGCAAGTCACATAGGGGTTTGATACAGCCCAATGAGACCAGGTACCTAGGAGTCAGAAACCAGGCAAACATTTAAGTTAACACTGTGCAGGCAAATTGTTGGAAGGTGTTTTAGACTGAGTCTTCCTGATAAATGTCAATTCACAGCAATCTCCTTTTCCTATTGTTAAGTGCCATCGAGTCAATTATAACTCACACTGACCCTATGAAAAACAGATCTAACCCTTGCCCTGTCCTGCACCATACTCATGATCTCTGTCATGCTTAAAGGCCATCTGGCAGTCACTGTGCCAATCTATCTTGATGAGGGGCGTTTTCTGTTTCTCTGAACCTCTAGCTTTCCCAGCATGTTATCTCCAAGTATTAGTTCCTGTTGAAAATATGCCCAAAGAAAATAAGACAAAGTTTGACCATTCTTGTCTCTAAGAAGTACTCTGGTTTGCAATTCCTTCAAGATTGACTGCTCTTTTGGCAGTCCATGGTATAGTAAATATTCTTCACCACCACCACCAACACCACCACCAACACCATCATAATTCAAAGGAATGAATTCTTTGGTCCTCCTAGTCACTGTCCCAACATTCAGATGCATAGGAAACAACTGAAAATATCATGGCTTATATCAGGCACATCTTAAGTCTTTACATTAATATCTTTGTTCTTCAGAACTTTAGAAAGGTCTTTGACAGCGTATATTCACAATATAACAAAATCAAGTCTTTTGGCTTCTAAGAGAATCTCTTTAAATATTTGGGCCCCTTTTTTGTCAATGAATTCCAATTGAGCTAAAGCCTGATTAATGAATATGCCATGTATAAATTTTACCAAATACCACATCTTGGTTTTGCTGTATTTTGTCTTCAACAGTGGTAGATTTCTGCTGGTCCACAAGGTTCTCCTGGAAGCTATGGGGGATAAACTATTTTATTATTCTTCTCCCATCTTCCAGAGATGCCAAGATAAATGCTTGTATGGATATGTGGTTGGAGCAAAACATTATGAGATAAAAGAAGCCCCAAGGCCAGATTTCCACAGCTTCTCAGATTCTGCACCCATAACTTACCTAATTGCTTCAGTACTGCAGCCACTATCTTGCCTCCTCTTTCTCAAGTCTTCTGATTTCTTTGGGATTGCAGCGTAGCTTTCTTGACACTAGGCTACCAGAACTCGTCTTCTGATTTCTTGACTGTTGCTACCATGGATGTTGAGTGTTGATTCAAATAGAATTAAAATCATTGACAATTTTTTCTCCATTATCATGTTGGTGCCAGTTGCATGTTGGTCCAGTGTGGAGGATTTTTGTTTTCTTAATGTTGAGATGTAGCCTTTGATCTTTTGCAGTAACTGTTTCAATTCTTCCTCACACTAAGCAAGGTTGTATCATCTACATAATGCAGGTTGTTCCTCTAATTCTGATGCCACATTCTTCTTTAGATAGTCCAGCTTCTTGAATGTTATGCTCAGCATGCAGATCCAGTTGGTACGGTGAAAGGATACAACCCTGACACAAACCTTTCTTGATTTTAAGCCATGCAGTGTTCCCTTTTTCTGTTTTTAACACCTTTTTGGTCTAAGTTTTACAGGAGAACAATTAAACATTCTTGGATTTCATTCTTCTCAGTGTTATCTATAGTTTATTATAAGCTAAATTATCAAATGCATTTGTATAGGAAATAAAACACAAGTAAACCTCTTTCTGGTATTCTCTGCTTTCAGCCAAGATCCATTTGATATCAGCAATGATATCCCTCGTTCCACAGCCTCTTCTGAATCCAGCTTGAATTTCTGGTAGTTCCCTGTCAATGTATTGTCCCAGATGCTCTTAATAATCTTCAGCAAGATTTTACTTGCATAAGATATTAATGACATTGTTCACTAATTTTACATTCACCTCTTTTGGAATAGCAACAAATACCTCTTCCAGTTAGCTAGTGGGGTAACTGTCTTCCAAGTTTCCTGGTTCCAAGTTTTCCTGTAAGTGGCTGGTAAGCACACCCAGGGCTTATCTGTTTGCTGAAAAACCTTAATTGGTATCCATAAATTACTGGAGCATTGTTTTTGTCAGTGTCTTCAATGCAACTTGAATGTCTTTCTTTGATAGTTGGTTCTTGATTATATGCTATTTCCTGAAATGGTTCAGGACTGACCATTTGTTTTGATACAGTAACTCTGTGTATTCCCTCCATCTTCTTTTGATGCATCTTGCATCATTCAAAATTTTGCCTTTAGAATCTTTCAGTATTGCAACTCAAGGCTTGAATTTGTTTTTCAGTTCTTGCACATTTTATTAAAATTCTTCTCTTGAGGTACCCTTTGATATTTTCTGTTCAGCTCTCTTACCTCAGCATTCCTTCCCTTTGTTTTGATTTTTGTTCCCCTGCAAGTTTAGTCTTTTCATAATTTTGGATAGGCACTCATTCTTTTTCACTCTCTTCACCGTCTACTTGCCACTACTCTAGTTCATTTCTCACACAGATGACTACAATAAACTTCTCCTTATCTTTAATGTCCCCATTGATGTAATATTACCCTCTATTGAAACAAAGTTCTGAAACCATCACATTCCTGCTAAGATTGTTATAGGACCTGATCTAAGTTCTTTGAGAAGACAATATAGATCTAGAAAATGGCTCTTATTTCCTTTTCTAGCTTTAACTGCCATTATTCCGTTTCAAGTATAGTAAACTCTAGTCAAGTTTGTTGCTACCGATAGAGATGTCAGCTTTCTGAGCCTTTCTTAAGATGTTTCCAAAACACCTTTGTCTCCCCTCTATTTATATTTATTTAATGCTTAACTTGGTTGCTATCCCTTTTCTCCTTAGATTTTATACATATTTACTAAGCTTAGTTGAAGGAAAGGCATGTGTCCAGTTTTTAGGATTCCTATTCTCCTAGTCATGTTCATAACTGAAACGAACAATGAACACATATACACAAAATAGCTTTCTATTTGTGTCTCTTTAGTCTTACCTTCAAAAATTAGTTACCAAAATTGCTACTATGAAGAGTCAAACCATGTTGTTTTTTTTAAAAAAATGTTTTGTTGTACAGATATGTCAATGTTACATGGATTTCTCTGGTAGGTATATAGAAGGGGATGGATATTTGTACCATAGATTACTACAACTGAGGTTTGAAAATACATATAACATACTGTGGTTTATAGGAATCTCTTTTGGATTTCAATCCATTATAGCAGTCTAACAGTAAAACTCTACTGCAGTTGGACAGGGATAGACCTAATCCCAGCAAAAGTAGTTTTGGGGTCATCTGTGAATTATGGGCCAAGAGGGATAGCAATCATATCTATCATTCAAGACAATGGGAAGGGAATGTGATACCTTATCTGCTCAGGTGTTCCTCCTGATGTGGCATTGGTGATGGCCCAAGTTGCTTCTTTCCTTGTACGGAACTCTGCTTTCTGAAGGATTTCAATCAGCACAGGGAAGATATTTGCATCTATGACAGCCTGAGAAAGGATGAGAAGAGGATTGGTTATTTAAATAAAAACAACTTAAAAAAAAAAGGAGTAACAACTTCAAGTACTTTTCAAGGATTCAACTTCAGGAAGAGAAAATAGATCCAGTCTATAAACATCTGAGATTAAGCTATCATGCCTCTCCTTCAAGTCCTGTTTTTACCCCACATAGGTGACTGACTTTAGTTACAAAAAACAACTATGATAAATAGTACACACTACTTGATCCCAATTTCTAAAGAGAAACCAATCTTTCCACCTAGAAGCAATCCCACAATCAATCTCCTATGTTCCTATATCTACTACCTATCCCTACAGCCCTCTTCTCTGACTTTACTGTCTGTTCTACCTGTATTTGAGCCCTGTTGCCAGCAGTGATGTTTGAAATGGTCCAGCAAGCTTCCTTCCGGATTGATTCCTTGGGACTGCTCAGCAAGTGAAGGAGGCAAGGGAGGGCGGAACAATTAAGAATGACCTAGAAAGTGAAAAATGTGGGTTTGAGTGAGACCACTCAATTGTAAGGAAACTGCCAAGAACCCCACAGAAGTACATCAATTGCTCAAGACCCAAAGAAAATCTTGCTTACTGTGCTTTCACTGGAGAGATTATACAACAAAAAGTAGTGTACATTAGACCCTCAAGGTCTACAAAGTAGAGATAGGGTTCCATAGCTTTCAGAATCTCAAATAGGCCATAATTAAAAATCAAAACAACCTTAATGTTCCAGAGAGTTAAAGAGTTTATATAATTTAATTTTCCTTAACAATCACCCAATAGATAATGCTTTGTTTCTAATTTATAGAAGAAATGAAGGCAACAAAATTAACCATCATTGTATAGAAAGCAGCAGAGTTGGAATTTTTTCAAGTCCATGCTTTTTCTACAAGACCATGTTGCCTTCCCTAAGACTTAAGCTCTAGAGAAAATTTTTGTCCACAGGTAGCTTTACATTGCTCTCTTTATAGGCTGTTTAAGCTAAGATCCTAGACTCTTCACTTCCTCACCTGGGTCTGGATGTCATCTCCAGTGACAATGTTACCAACGGCCCGCAGAGCAGGAGAAGCCACTTTGTAATCATTATGCCTACAGAAGGAGGGAGCAATGATTACTAGTCATATTCTGTCATTATCAAAGCAAACTGTAGCTCTTGAGCAGGAGCTTAAGGAATTTATATGCCTAATAGAGATCACTCACATCAGAAGCTCTACCAATCTCCGGCAAACTCCAGAGTCTATGACTGCCTGAATCTTCTCATTGGGGCCATCAGACAGATAAGAGAGGGCCCAGCAAGCATCTGCCAGCAAGTCTGAGTCACTGCTGAAGAGTAGGCGAGACAGCACAGGCAAACAAGGAGAGACCTGTTGGAAGCAGACAGTGAGAAGGACTTGTCTGGATAGTTCTACCACTCCCCTTAACACTGCTGCTACATTCCCCTGCAAGTAATTCTGGATTCTAACATTAAATCATTAAGCCTACCTTTCTACTATATCATCTAGGTACATACTAAAAATGATCACAATCTTCACTGTCATAATTTCTTTTAGTTCTCCATGAGTTTGATTTAAAACTCAAGGAGGTTCCCCAAAGACTTAAAACATTTCCATATCCAAATTCTTCCATTTGAAGGAATCTGGTTTCATTCAGGTAAAGCAGCACTCTCACCTTTGGAAAATCTGGGGGTGGATTCTTCCCCCGGCAGAGGTTTGATAGAGCCCAGACTGCATTCCGTGTCATTGTCAGTCGTGTGGACTTGGTAAGAAGTCTAAAGAAAACAGTGAAGACATTCTAAGCATTGATACTATCCTGTTGGTTGGTGGTTGCTGTCAAGTCAAAACCAACTCATAACCTTCCAGCAGGCAGTAAACCACTAATAATGTGGTAGTGCCATTCCTTACCACTATGCCACCAGGGCTCCCTGATACTATGGCACCAGCTAACAAACTCTAGAAGGAAATCCTATCAGACTCAAGACTAGCAGCCTCTCTATTTCATCTTCCCCATAAAATTAAGTGACCTTGGCTCTGGCCACAAGTCCTGGACAAAAAGTAATGTCCTCTTCCAAAATAAAAGTTGTGGTCTAATAGAAGAGATTTAGATTTTTTTGTTACAAATTCTAAAAAAGAGTGGTAGTGGAACCCTATGAGATTGTGATCTGAAGTTCATCTGTTTGTCTTCATTTAGATGTAGTTCTACTTTAAAAGCATGAGTAGGAAGAAAACAGCAAAGATGTCATGATGACCCTTCAAGGGTTCTTTGAGCTATGGTTAACTACATTACAAGAGTTTTATTCAATGCAACTATATGGCTTAGTGGTAAAGAGATGCGCTACCAACTCAAAGACATGCAGTTTGAATCCACTGACTGCTCTGTGGGAGAAAGATAGGTGATAGCCTCCTATGTAATTAACTGCCTCTGAAACCCCCCTGGAGGGCCAGCTACGGGTCAGTTCCGACTTGACAATACATAAAACAGTGGTTTGTTAATCTTCATAGCAAATAAATATATTTTTAGAGAATGTTGACTTTTTCCAGATTGGCTAATTCTGCCTCTTTCTCTTGGCTCAACAATGAGACAGAGGACCACTGTATGATCAACATAAGGCTCTACAGTGCCATGAGCATTGCATCCTTCTTGGCACAGACCCATGGCAAAAAGTGTCTTATTCTCAAAGATATTTATCTTTTACTGGTAAACAGACTGCACTTTTAGAGTTCTTTGTATTAACTTTCATCTTAAAGGACCAAGTAGGCTGCTCTCAGCGACCTGCTACATGGCCTCCTTATAGATAACACAAATGCAGATGACTGTAATTACTCACGTGAGCAAAGGATTAAGGATAGAACAGTTCAAGACGTAATCTCGGCAAACGGAGCTGTCTCCAGCTATGTTTCCCAGTGCCCAGACTGCCTGAAAAAAAGGATGGCAGAACTGTTACCTGGTAGAACTTAGTTAGCTCCTGTTACTATTATATAGTCCCAATCACAGAGTAAGTACCCAAGAAGATAACTGTGTAAGAGTCTCAGACACAGTGAACAAGGTCAGGTACCCTTCTTGTTGAAATTTTTACAGAGCAAGGCCTCGATGAAGACCTGACCCCAGGGAATTCCTTAATCAATGGAGAAAACAGGCTGTTATTGCTATTGTGCCAGAAAAGCAAAACCAAGGTCACCCATGCTTATTCCAGTAAGAGAAAGTGATCAAAAGTTGCATTCCATAATCTTTTTAGACCAGCTCTGACGGAGCAGCAGAATAAAGATTCCAGTATCCTTTTTCACTTCTCCCAATTCACAAGAACTCTGGGTTTTTTCAAGGGGTAAAAAGCAGATGTGATAGTCTAGTTCTAAGATCTGTGAGTGCTGAGCAATAGGGTTCAATATGAATAAAGTTAAATCTGACATAATATTACCTGTTCCTGCACATCCTCAAAGTCCGAGTTAAGCAGTTCTATGAAAATGGGTACAGCCCCTGCATCAATGACAATTTTGGTCTGTTGAGAGGTACCAGAGGCAATGTTTGTTAGGGCCCAGGCAGCTTCGAACTGAAAAGAAATCAAGGCATCATTGAGAGATTATTCCAGACAGATCAAGTAACTCAAAATAGTAAGCCTTTAGCTGGTCAGCACGCACGCACGTGTGTTCACGCTCTCATTCTCTCTCTCTCACACACACGTTCACCTTCCCCTTTAAAGTGGTAGGAAGACGTTAAAGGCAATATTATGAGAGCCTGTAAGACAAGATCTAGTTCTGTACTACTACAGCATCCATGTGTCCTTTGGGCGAGTAACTATTTCTTGGTGTTCACTTTTCCCTTATTTTTTTAATATATAACATATTCTTTCCATTTAATTTCCCCATCTCCATTAATTCATTGTTGCACATTTTCCTCCCTGCCCGCCTCAGTTCATTTTTCTCTTTGAAGAAAAAAAAATAAATTCTTTCATTGTTATACAATCCTTCCGCCTTAGTCCACAGTCCAAATAATGTATTTCTTTTCTGTAATCTTGTCATGAAAATAATACTTAAGCCTATATTCCTTTTAGTCCTATATATTTTAAAGTATATCCTATATTCTCTCCCTCATCTGTTTCAATGCAGTATACATTATTTATCCACTATTTTTAGATTCCCCCCAACCCCGATGTCAGTCCTGTTTTACAACAGTGGCACTATGCAGTATTTGCCCTTTTGTGAATGAGAATTTCACTCAGCATAATGTCCTCCAGGGTCACCCATTTTTATAATAGTTCATGAGTTGTTTTTCAATGCAGCATAGTAATCCATTGTATGAATATACCAGAGATTATCCATTCATTTGTTGATGGGCACTTGGGTTGTTTCCAACTCTTTGCTATTGTGAACAAAGCACAATAAACATGGGTGTGCATATATCTGCTTGATTGGCAGTTCTGGTATTTTTAGGGTATATTTCCAGTAGTGGAATTGCTGGGTCAAATGGTATTTCTATTTGCAAATTTTTTTTTATTTGCAACTTTTTAAGAAAGCACCATATAGCCTTCCACAGTCACTGCACGATTTTACACTCCCACCAATAGTGAATAAGGGTTCCAGTTTCTCCACAACTTTGCCAGCATTTGCTGTTTGCTCCTCTGTTGAACTTTGTTATTCTTAATGGGGTAAGATGGTATCTCATAGTTGTTTTGATTTGCATCTCTCTTAGAGCTAGGGATTTTGAACACTACTTCGTATGTTTGTTCGTCATCTGAATGTCTTCTTTGGTAAAGTGTCTGTTCATATCCTGTGCCCATTTTTCAACTGGGTTGTTTATCTTGTAGCACATTTTCATCATTTTTAAAACTACACTTACAGTGAGATGGTCTTCTCAAAGTCTCTTCTAGCTGAGTTTCTATGAAGTACCAATAAAAATGTGGCCTGACTCATCATCTATCTCCCATAAGACTGATGCAGAGAAGCTAAATGATCTTTACAAGTCCACATAGTTAGCAGTGAACCTCTAATCTATAAGGGAATGATTAGCATGCCATTTTACAGTATATTTTTTTGAGATTACATGACTTAAGGAAAAGTTGAACTCTCTTTTATGAGTCTAAGAGGACATCTATCATAATATTTACTTTTTGAGAAATGTATCTTAGAAATACTCCACTGTAATCTCTTTTTTTAAAATAATGAATTGTGGGGGTTTTTCTTTCTTTTTAAAAATTTTTTACAGGGAGCTCTGGTGGCCTAGTGGCAAGAAGCTGCACTGCAATCCCAGAGGTCTACGGTTCGAATCCACCAGATGCTCTGCTGGAGAAGGAGGGGCAATCTCTTCCTGTACCAGTCAGATCTGATTTGACAGTACACACACACACACACACAAATAATAAAATAAAAAATGAGAAAAAAAAATTTTTTTTACATTTTATACTGATTTACTTACAAAGTTCATAAAATTCGTATACATTGTTTTTCACTGCAATGTCTTGGAAGAATGAGGTTTTTCTGGTGTTTCACCACCATCATTTCAGGTCTCACCTGTAATGTACAATTCTCGTTCCTCTTCAGAAACTCCACAAACCTATCCACCACTCCCGGAGTGTTGATCACTTCATCTATTGGGGGACTAGGTTCTGGAAAAGGAGGGAAGGGAAGAAGAGGAAAAGTTGGGAGAGCCTCTGGTGGATGCATGCACTATGGTCAGTTTAAAATCCCTTCCAGATACACCTGACCATCCTTAACACTATTCACAAACTTTCTTCTAGTAAGGTAACTTTAACAATAGCTGATTATCTTTATACTAATATAGTTAGAATCCAAAAAAGTTGTAATTTTAATATGCTTAGCTCTGGCCTGTTAAATCTAAGCAAGGAACTATAAGGGAGAGCAGATAGTCCATGAGATAAACAACTATTAGTCTACACATTCCTAAGACCACCATTTATTCTCTTGAGAAGATGGCTTGATGTGTTTTACTTATCATACAACAATTTTTTTATTGAGCAACTACAATGTATCTAAGATAACAGTAGAGAAAAAAACTGACAGTCTCTGGCCTCACAGACCTTATATACTAATGGGGAAGAGACAATCTTGTTATATTAGAAGATAATAAATATAATGGGCAGGTGAGGAGAAAAAAATTCAGGACAGGATAAGGTGATAAAAACTGAGGATGGAGCTGTGCATACATAGTTCGGCAACTTTAGACAAGGTGTCAGGTTTCACTAAGAATATAGGATGATAAAGCGAAGAAGCTGTCACATAGATATCTGGAAGTAGAAGATATCAGACAGAAAAGTCAGTACAAATGTGGGATATCCTTGGTACATCCAAGGACTAGCAAGACCAGTAAGGCTAGAGCAGAATGAGTGAGGGATTTAAAAGCAGCTGATGAGATCAGTAAAGACTGGCAGGAGAGGAGGGTGCTAAACCATGTAGTTTCTCTGGGAAGATCAGGCTTCATACCTTTGGAAAGCAATTTCCGGAATTTCTGTGTGGTTGCTAATTGCAGGTCAGAATCATCAGAAAAAAGCATCTCCACCATCTCTCTTGTAATCACACCCTCCTAGAACATAAAACGGATTTACAACTTTGTAAATCAAAAGAACCAAATGTGTTCACACAATCCTGCCCAATATGCTGCTTTCTAAAGACTTGAGGGCAATGAAAGCATAACACACAGACTCAGGAGGAGGAGTTTGTTTAATCCATGGCTACTTCAAGATGGGCCATCTGAGAAAGATTTCTAATCTGAGGCAAATGAGCGTTCCCCTTAAATATTTTCTCAGTAAATGAACTTGGAGAAACGACAGAGAAGTGATTAAAGTTATACAAGTGCTCAGTCTTCCATTCACAGGGTCGCTATGGGTCGTCTATGACTCTACCGCACTTAACACCACCAACAACAACCAGAGAGAGAGCTCTGTGGGCCTGGTGAATAGAAAGTTATGCTACCAAGTCAAAGGTGGGTGATTTTAATTTCCAGCCCTCAGATCTGGTTTTAATTGTTTTTAGTCAAACATTCTTCTAAGTGGTAAAGCATTGGTCTGTCCATTTGCTGTATAGAGATAACTCATGGTTGCTGTGATACTAAATACTGTGACACTGATGGGTCAAATGCGATAATGGTTACCCATACTGGATGGTGTTTGGTGGAGCACCATGATTAAAACAAGCTTGTAAGCAGAAGTGGCATCCACTTCTGAAATAGCTTGCCTCCAGAAACTTTTATGAACTTGGAGAAACGAAAGTTATACAAGTGTTCAGGTCTTTCATTCATAGGGTCTCTATGAGTTGTCTATGACTCTATGGCACTTAACAACAACAACAACAACAACATATTTACCAGAGATGAATCCTTGTTTGCTCCTTAAAGGAAGCTATTATAAGAGAGCTATTTAAAGAATAGAAACAACTCAACTCCTATTCTTTAGAAGCAGGTATTCCCAGGCCTGTCTCAGGCAGTATCCTTACCCCAGTGGTAGAGCTCACATAGGAGTCCATAAGGAGACTATCGAACATAGCAGCTTCTTCATTAATCAGTTCAACATTTCTCCGTTTAAAAAGCTGAAAGTAAAGTGAGGAGACATTGGTAAGGCTACTCACTGAACTAAAACTGGTAACCTCAAAATGAAAGAAGAATCTAATGTTAATTCTGACGGAAATGTCAAGCAAATGCTAGAGTACTTTAGAGTATGAGACTTACACTTTAAACTAACAGGGCTCTAACTCCCTTGTTGCATCTACCTGTCCATACTTTCTGTCCATATAAGAAAGCAAAAAAATCTGGAGGGTTATCCATTTTGTATTCAAGAAATGGTGGATTTGTGTTTTCTTTCTTTTAAAATGAAAAAGAGTGGGAGTGTATATGATAAGGCATTAATACAGTTGCATTTCTGGAGGTGCTTACAAAGAACAGAGGTTCAACAAAACAGCAGGTAGCCTAGAATTAAATTCTTAAAGGGCTAGGATTAAATCTGGGCTTTGAAGCCAGGCCTAACCTTGACAATAAGATGAAGAAGAGAGAAGGTCACAGGAGCTAAAACAAGAATGCTATACTGAAGACAGTTTAGATGATGTCTAAACTGGTCTGACTCGGGGGGGGAAAGGGACAAAAGGGCTAGTTCGCCTTTTTTCAAAACTTCCAACATTTCTTCTAAAATAAATAAAACTGATCCAGAAAGCTAAACTTTCCAGAGGGGATGGTGAGAGTTCAAGGTGGAGGTAAGCTTCAGTAGCTCATCATTCCCCTGAACAGTGTATTTGAAAATATACTGTTAACTCACTTGTTGCTCTCGCTTCTGCTTCCGGAGCTGAATGCCCTCTTCCTCTCTTCTTCGCCTCATTTCCTCAGGGTTCAGGGCATTGTTCTTATAGCTCTTCATTCTATAATTGTCTTTCCCTGGGCTCGCCATGGTCTCTAGAAAATGGAAAGATAAAAACACATTGTCACAAGCCCTTAAGAAAAGAGCATTTCCTTTTTACTGGGATTCTGTTCCTAACCCATCTCTCTTATATGGGGAAGGATCATAGCTTCTCAAGGAGGCCTAACGATCTTGTAACAGCACCTAATATTTCTAGAACAGCACCAGTATATATACACACACAGAGCTTGTTAAAAAAAAAAACCAAACACCAAAAACTTGTTAAAATAGGGAGTATTACAGAATTAAGGCACTGCTGGTCCAGTGGTAAAATTCTTACTCCTTCCATGTAGAGGTGTGGGTTTGATTCCTGGCCTACATACTTAATGTGCTAGTGGTGGATTGCCTGTTGTTATGCTTTTGAACAGGTTTTATTGGAGCTTCCAAGGTTAAAACATAGTAGGAAGAAAAGTCTGGCAATCTACTTTCAAAAATCAGCTGATTTTCTAATGTCTAATCTGTAGCTGATTACAGGGATGATGCAAGACCAAGCCGCATTACATTCTGTGGAATACTGGGTTGCCATGAGTTGGGGACTTACCTAACAGCAGTTAACAACAACAGTATACAGAATGGTTATAGCATAGTAAGTAAAAGGAAGAGGGGTCCTGGAACTATATACTGCCTGAGTGCAAATCTGGCTCTTGTTAGCTGTGTGACCTCAAACAACTGCTTTAACCTCTCTATGCTTCATCTTTAAAACAAGGACTTGATAAAGTTGTTATAAGGATTATATAGGTTAATATACAATGTGCTGCTTAGAATAGTGGCACTCAGTAAAGGTTCATAAGTTATGATTACTTTCATTTATTAAAGAAAAATTTAGTTTTGCCCAGTGAACTCAGAGATAAAAGAACACTAAACCAGCTTAAATACATTATAACTGAAACAAACCCCAATTCCACAGAATACCATGTATTTCACTTAAATTGAGATTATATAGTATTGGATGTATGTATAAATTATAAAGCAAAAGGATACAATGGACGCCTATTAACCTATCTATAACCTAAGTTGTGTGCAGAACCAACCCATAGTTGACCTGAAATTTCAGCAGGTTTAAAGAGGCAGTAAATCACACTGGAGGAAACTACCCATTTTTTCCAACAGAACAGCTAGTGGATTTGAACTGTGTGCCTTTGGGATTGCATGGAGCTTCTGACCACTAGGCCACCAGAGCTTCCCATCACTTAATTTAAGATCTAAAATACTGCCAATATGCCTGGATCAAATGATGAATGTGTTTTCTATTTCAGGGTTTTGTATCTGAACTCCAGCACCAGCCAAAAGAAAACTGTTGTTTTTGTTTAGAACCAACTCACAGCTGATCCTCCAAGCAGGTTTTCAGAGGGTATAAACTGCATGAGAACAGAGTCCCCATCTTTCTCCCCTGGAGCAGCAGGTGGATTTGAACTGTGTATCTCTGGGTTGGCAGCACAGATCCCTGCCACTAAGCCACCAAAGCTACAATCCTAAATTGTTTAGATTTACTTTTTATTTATCAAAATATATGAATATCCCTACGTATTGTATTACACTGTGTTTTAGTATTTATTCTGCGAATTGTCTTCTAATTAATGGGGGTTTTATGATTAACCCATGTTTTCCATGTGGCTGTATTTAATTCATTTTTACTCTGTGGTATTACTCCACTATGTAAATATAATTTTCCCACTTTTCTATTGGTCTTCTTTCCCTCAGTGTTTTCTTCCTATTACAAACTTACTGGGAAACTGTCTAGTGCTCAGCAAAGGACACCTGGTTTTACCTGAAAGCTCAAATTACGTAACTGATAGCAAAACAATGACAGACTCATTTTAAGAAATGATTGTCTAATATCTAAGTCTACATAGCCATAGTCTATTTCTTTCATTCTTTCAAATTAAAAAAAAACTATTAAAACACCAAATCAATATAAAAAGTAGCTAGTTTAGCTTACAGCTTAGATGTAATTTTCCTATAGACACAAATTCAAGAGTGAAATCTATACTTATTTAATATAAAAAACATTTTAAAAAGTAAACTTGCAAAGGGATATCTAAGGGGTAACTATTGATTTCTCCATTTGGAACAAAGAAAAGACAAGAAAGTCAAGTATAAATACAATTAATCCAAAGATTTGATGTTCTACCTTAACCTCTGCAATCCTAAAAAGATAACTAGACAGTGCCCAGCTACCACTGCTGACCACTTTAAAAGGGATCAGAGTAGAAGATCCTAAAAAAACCAGGATATGAATATGGAACAAAACTCAAAATAAAAATGGCCAGGCTTGCTGATCTGGTACAGAGTGGTAGTATTTCACAGACTATGGCCCTTAGTCACTCTTCAAAAGCTAGGAACTAAATTATGCAATTTTTAGGCAAGCAAGAGACAGGCCTATAAAGTGAACAGCAACACTAGGAAGATTGTTTTTGTTGTTGTTATGTGCTGTCAAGTTGCTGTGACTCACAGCGACCCTACATACAATAGCCCTTGAAACCTGCACCAAAACTTTACTGTTTCCAACACACCTACTGGTCCCTCCTTGGAACATGCCCAAAGTATGTCAGATGAAGCCTCAGAATCCTTGCCTTCAAGGAGCAGCCTGGCTTCACACTCTCTAGAATAAATGTTTGTTCTCCTGGCAGTCCAGGGTATATTCAATACTCTTCTCCAGCACCACAGCGCAAAGGTATCAATTCTCTATCATTCCTAGTCACTATCCAGCTCTCTGACATATAGCAAGCAATTGCAATGACTATGGCTTGGATCAGGCACACCTTAGTCTCCAGGCTGATGCCATTGCTCTTCAGTACTCTAGAGAGGTCTCTGACATTTGATTTTCCCCAGTGTAATTCATCTCTTGATTTCCTGGCTGCTGGTACCAAGAGTGTTGACTGTAGATAGTTCCCTTTAAAATAATCAACTATTTAAGATCAAAGAGTAGTATCTGTCCAGACGTAAAGCACAGAGGGATGACTAGGAATGAGAATCACAGAGATTCAGCTGGAATAGTTCTGTTACAGAATTGTTGTTGTCTGTTGTCGAGTTGTAACTGACTCATAGCTGACCCTGTCTCAGGTTTTCAGAGGCAGTAAATCCCACAGGAGATTGCCCATCCTTCTCCCGCAGAGCAGCTGGCAGATTGCATGCCTTTGTGATCACAGTGCTGCTTCTTACCACTGGGCCACCAGAGCTCTCTTACAGTATGGGAGTTATAATTAATGCTGTAAGATAAATATGTATGACTGACTGAATGGGAAGCCAATTTGCTCAGTAATTTCACTCAAACTACAATTAAAAGCTTTAAAAAAGTTTTTAAAGTGAAAGGGGAAACTGGCAATTTTTTTCAAATTTCTTTTTATTTTTATTATTTGTGTGTGTGTGTATCGTCAAATCAGATTTGACTGGTACAGGAGGAGATTGTTCTTCCTTCTCCAGCAAAACATCTGGTCGATTTGAACCGCTCACCTCTCAGATTGCAGTGCAACTTCTTGCCACTAGGCCACCAGAGCTCGCTGAAACTGGCATTTTTTAAAAACAATGAGTAAGTGGTATGATGAATACAATGTCTATGTGTTCAATTTGATGTCCCAGGCTTTATTTATGCTAAGGCATTGGCAGTTGTACATACTATTGTTTAGTAGTGTCAGAAGAAATGTCAACATAATGAAAATGTCAAACAGTATCTTAGTATAATTTAGGAAAACAGCTTCCTCATGCTAGCTAGATCCTCTGGAAAGACTGCAGGAACTACTGACTGCAGGCTGACTGTTAGGGGTGGGGTGCAGCAGTAATTTGAGTACTACTACTCTAAGGTATAGATACAGAACTGAATTGCTAGGTTTTATTACGAGAAATTTGGAAGATAGCTACCTGGCCAAAGGACCAGGAGAGATCTGTATTTGTATGGAGCTCTGGTGGCCTAGTGGCAAGAAGCTGCGCCACAATCCCAAAGGTAAGTTGTTCAAGGCTACTCGCTGCTCTGTGGGAGAAGGATGGGCAATCTCCTCCTATGTGATCAACTATCTCTGAAAACCCACTGGAGAGTCAGCTATAGGTTGGTTCCGACTCTAAGGTACACAACAACATTACAAGAAATATGGAAGATAGTCACCTGGCCAAAAGAACAGTAGAGACCTGTATTTGTCACTATTTACAAAAAAAGTGATAAAATAAAATGTGGAAATTATTGGATAATAATTAATATTACATGTATATAAAATACTGCTGAAGATTATTTAAAAAACAGCTGAAACAGTACATTGATAGGGAATAATCAGAAATGTAAGTCGGATTCACAAAAGGCCATGGCTGAGGCTGAGGGATAATCACTGCTGATGTCTCATGGAACTTCACTGAAAGCAAAGAGTGTTTCTTTGACTATGCAAAGGCATTTGACAGTATGGATCATAACAAATTATGGCTACCACTGAGAAGAATGAGAATCCCAAAACACTTAATCATGCTCACACAAAGGCTATACATAGATCAAGAAGCTGTTGTCCAAACAGAGGAAGGGGAAAATGGCCTGGTTTAAAATTAAGAAAGGTATGTGTCAGAACTGTATCCTTTCTCCATTATCTGTTCAATCTATACTGTGAACAAATCAATTGAGAAGCTGGACTATATGAAGAACAATGTAGACTGGAGGAGGAATCATCAACAACCCACACACACCTTTGCATATTCCACAGCATCTTCTGAATCCAGCTGGGGTGGATGGGGCAGCATTTCATTCTTTTTTTAAAAATTTTTATTGTATTATTTTTATGTGTATCGTCAAATCAGATCTGACTGGTGCAGGAGGAGATTGCCCCCTCCTTCTCCAGCAGACCATCTGGGCAGCATTTCATTCTGTTGTACCTTTCTGGCAGATTCTTGACAATGTACTACTATTCTGGCTGTTTTTTAATAATCTTCAGATTTTACTTACATGTGACTGATTAATGATACCATTTCATAATTTATATTCTCTCCCTCCCTCCTTTCCTTCCTTCCTTCATAATCTTCA